TGGAGAGGTCCTTCCTCAAGTGGAGGAGTTCAAGTATCTCGGGGTCTTGTTCACGAGTGAGGGAAGAATGGAGCGTGAGATTGACAGGCGGATCGGTGCAGCGTGCGCAGTGATGCGGTCTCTGTATCGGACCGTTGTGGTAAAGAGGGAGCTGAGCCGAAAGGCGAAGCTCTCGATTTACCGGTCAATCTTCGTTCCCACCCTCACCTATGGTCATGAGCTTTGGGTAATGACCGAAAGAACGAGATCGCGGATACAAGCGGTCGAAATGAGCTTTCTCCGCAGAGTGGCTGGGCGCTCCCTTAGAGATAGGGTGAGGAGCTCAGTCACACGGGAGGAGCTCGGAGTAGAGCCGCTGCTTCTCCACGTCGAGAGGAACCAGTTGAGGTGGCTCGGGCATCTGTTCAGGATGCCTCCTGGACGCCTTCCTGGGGAGGTGTTCCGGGCACGTCCCACCGGGAGGAGGCCCCGGGGAAGACCCAGGACACGCTGGAGAGACTATGTCTCTCAGCTGGCCTGGGAACGCCTTGGGGTCCCCCCGGACGAGCTGGAGGAGGTGTGTGTGGATAGGGAAGTCTGGGCGTCTCTGCTTAGACTGCTGCCCCCGCGACCCGGCAACGGATAAAGCGGAAGAAAATGGATGGATGGATGGACATTAAGTCTTAAGTTTGGAATTTTGAAACACTGTTTTCCAGACCTTTAAAGTCTTGAATTTTGTGTGAAAGTATGGGGGGAAAATTCATGGTTAAACATTTTTAACATTTCTAATAAACACAGTTGGTACAATCTCAACCAATGAAGTAGGCAGTAGGCACACAAGTATAAAAGTACATGAAGTTAAGGTCTTGGGGGAAAAAAATATTTTTTGACATTCAAATGCATATATGTATATACTTTTTTGTTTGTTGTTCTTGACGAATGTTGATGTGTCTGTCTGTTTTGTTGTCTTTGATAAAGACATTTTATATATATATATATATATATATATATATATATTATACTTAGGGCTGGGCGATTAATCGATTTTAATCATTAATTCGAGTTTTACGTTTAGGGCAATTTCTTTTTTTTAAAATTCGATTTTTATTTTCTCCAGCGCAGAACTACGGCGCTAACGCGCTAACCGCGGGTCTATGGTGTTGAGCAGTCATTTTGAAGCTAACCTAATGTAGGGCTGGGCGATTAATCGATTTTAATCATTAATTCGAGTTTTACGTTTAGGGCAATTTCTTTTTTTAAAAATTCGATTTTTATTTTCTCCAGCGCAGAACTACAGCGCTAACGCGCTAACCGCGGGTCTATGGTGTTGAGCAGTCATTTTGAAGCTAACCTAATGCTAACAGTCTCCCTCTGGCCTGATGCTCGCTCTCACAGTTGGTGCTGTTGCAATAACACTTCAAACGTTCAAGAATCAGACTTTATTTAATCGCCAAAACACACACACACAGGCTCCGGTCGTACGCCACATCTTTCACGCTCTCTCACGCTCGTTATTCCAAAGCGCACTCCCGTGTCCGTGGCGCGCACACACTCGTGTCCCACTGAGCCGCTGCACTTTGGGGAAAGACACGTCTCACACATTGCTCTCATTGCTCTGATACAAACAACGTGTTCCCCGCTGTCTGTTAGCTACAGTAGCTGCTACAGTAGCTGTTAGCTACAGTAGCTGCTACAGTAGCTGTTAGCTACAGCATCAGAATGTAAACAGGAAGCTCGCACAGTCACTGAAGTTAGTATTAGCGCCACCAGCTGGACCGAGCGTTGTACTACAGCACAGTTACTCAGGCACAGTTGAAAGAACAAGCATGAAAACCCGAGGAGGCTTTTGGAAAAGACTGTTACAACATTTCTATTTTGAGTAATCAGTTTTAAAAATGTGATATTTCATGTAAATAATGCATGTGTTTAATAGGATTGATATATTTGCGATGGGCCTTGTTTGTGTGATTTAAGTTATTTTGAAGGTGCATAGTGTCATTGTAAGTGAAGTTATTATAAAACTGTTAAGCTACATTTTCACTGTTTACAATGGCAGAGCCATCTCGTTTACAAGCATGTTTTAAGGCTTAATTCCTGTTACACTTATGCTCCATGGGGATTTAGATTAAACTGCATAAAGGAAAATCTATTTCTTTGTCAGTTGTAGTTTGTTTTTAAATAGAAAAAAATAAATCGATTAAAATCGAAAATCGGATTTGGTGTGAAAAAATCGATTTTTTTTTTTTGCCATATCGCCCAGCCCTAATTATACTCTCTCGCACATCTTTTCTATATGGATATCGCACGTATCAATACCGCAATAACAATATTTTTTTGATATATTGTGCAGCCCTACTTTACACAGCTGTCAATTCGCCAACACAGATCAGAAAATCAAACACAGGAAATGCAAAGATTTAAAAATAAAAAACACACAGAGCCATAGATCCATGATCCATAATCCATGGATCATTGCCACTGGCAAGAAAAGCTAGGCGTTAAAAACTTTGAATGTAAGATCCCAATGTGAATAAGCCCCAGCCCTGTAGTTTGGGATAGACATGTTTTCTTGCTTCTGTTGATAATCTGCTGATGGTGAAGAAATATCAGGACTGAAATAGCTGGGGCACATAGGAGGCAGCGAGAGGGGAACGCCACACTCCAAACACACTCGATACATCAGTGAGAGAGTGTGACCTCATGCAACACGATACGGCTGTGATTCAACCAGCAGAAGTGCTCCAGTGTCTGTTATTTCAAGGCTGATTGGTTGTCGTCTGTGTGTTATTAGCTTGTCTCCTTCTAAAAGGCCTCTCTGTCTCTGTGTCTCTTTCTCTGTATGTTTCTCTGTCTCTGTCTCTGTCTCTCTCTTTCTCTCTCCCTGTTTCTCTCCCTGTCTCTGTCTCTGTATTTCTGTCTCTGTCAATCTGTGGTTTGATCCAATCCTGGTGAGCTCTTTGTGTTGAGACTTTACACCAGTGAAACTTAAGATGGACTGAGCTGAGCCTAAACCTGCGATTGTTCAGGTGGATAAACTCCCATCAACACAAGATTTAGATCAGAGGCCGGGAACCTTTTTTAGCTGAGAGCCTAAGACTCCTTAAAAATGTATTTCTGCCATACACATTTTTATGTGTGCTTTTTTTTGTACAAGATCAACACATTTATAGTGTAATATTAGTCTTAGAGTGTCACATTTTGTTTTGGTTTTTTTATACTGAAGAATTCATATTCATATTATTACTATGAATGCCTACTAAGATTTGTCTGAAAGCCAGACACAATCATCAAAAGAGTCATAGGTTCTTGACCCCTGATTTAGACAATATGTTCTCATAGGGCTGGGCGATATGGCAAAAAAAAAAAATCTCCGATTTTTTTCACACCAAATCCGATTTTCGATTTTAATTGATTTATTTTTTTCTATTTAAAAACAAACTACAACTGACAAAGAAATAGATTTTCCTTTATGCAGTTTAATCTAAATCCCCATGGAGCATAAGTGTAACAGGAATTAAGCCTTAAAACATGCTTGTAAACGAGATGGCTCTGCCATTGTAAACAGTGAAAATGTAGCTTAACAGTTTTATAATAACTTCACTTACAATGACACTATGCACCTTCAAAATAACTTAAATCACACAAACAAGGCCCATCGCAAATATATCAATCCTATTAAACACATGCATTATTTACATGAAATATCACATTTTTAAAACTGATTACTCAAAATAGAAATGTTGTAACAGTCTTTTCCAAAAGCCTCCTCGGGTTTTCATGCTTGTTCTTTCAACTGTGCCTGAGTAACTGTGCTGTAGTACAACGCTCGGTCCAGCTGGTGGCGCTAATACTAACTTCAGTGACTCCCGCATTGTGCGAGCTTCCTGTTTACATTCTGATGCTGTAGCTAACAGCTACTGTAGCAGCTACTGTAGCTAACAGCTACTGTAGCAGCTACTGTAGCTAACACCTACTGTAGCAGCTACTGTAGCTAACAGCTACTGTAGCAGCTACTGTAGCTAACAGCTACTGTAGCAGCTACTGTAGCTAACAGCTACTGTAGCTAGCAGCTACTGTAGCTAACAGCTACTGTAGCTAGCAGCTACTGTAGCTAACAGCTACTGTAGCTAACAGCTACTGTAGCTAACAGCTACTGTAGCTAACAGCTACTGTAGCTAACAGACAGCGGGGAACACGTTGTTTGTATCAGAGCAATGAGAGCAATGTGTGAGACGTGTCTTTCCCCAAAGTGCAGCGGCTCAGTGGGACACGAGTGTGTGCGCGCCACGGACACGGGAGTGCGCTTTGGAATAACGAGCGTGAGAGAGCGTGAAAGATGTGGCGTACGAACATGCCGTACAAACATAGCGACCGGAGCCTGCCTGTGTGTGTGTGTTCTGGCGATTAAATAACGTCTGATTCTTGAACGTTTGAAGTGTTATTGCAACAGCACCAACTGTGAGAGCGAGCCTCAGGCCAGAGGGAGACTGTTAGCATTAGGTTAGCTTCAAAATGACTGCTCAACACCATAGACCCGCGGTTAGCGCGTTAGCGCTGTAGTTCTGCGCTGGAGAAAATAAAAATCGAATTTTTAAAAAAAGAAATCGCCCTAAACGTAAAACTCGAATTAATGATTAAAATCGATTAATCGCCTAGCCCTATGTTCTCAATAATAAGGTGAATTGTGTGTATATTTATAAAGGTAAAGGTGCACTATATTTATCCCCGTAGGGCAATGCTTCTGCTACATTTGACCCAGATGTTAATGCTCGGCTTGGTCAGGACTACCGCAGCTGGAGGATTTTATCTATTGAACATATTTTTAGTGGTAGGGAAACCAGAGCATGGCTGATGTAAATACAGGTCTGGTGCATACTGGGGACTTTTGCACATGTATTCCAACGTGGTTTTACTGCAAATGGCAAATAAACAGAATTTGTATCTTTTCTCACTGTAACATCTGTATTTAAACCTGCGTGTGTGTGTGTGTGTGTGTCCTCAGGCAGTGAAGAGCTGAGAGGATGGCTCACTCTAAAGCTCGAGCCGCAGACGGGAAGGTGACCTACCCTCCGGGGGTCAAGGAGATCTCCGACAAGATCTCCAAAGAAGAGATGGTCCGTCGGCTCAAGGTCCGTGTCTCTGTTTATGGCTCTGATTACGTGGGGATGGAAACGGGACCAGAAGTTCTGTGCGAAATTGGTTTAAAGGTCCCTGAGGAAATTAGAGAAACAGCTTTTAGCAGCTGAGAAACTGAATTTCTCCCAGGATTAATAAAGCGTCTCTATTCTATTGTATTCATCCATTACACATTTAGTAGGTTGAGCATATTTTAATCCAATAGTTCTATGGGCATTTTTGAAGACTGTAATTTCAAATTCCCAAGTTTATTATGTAATGATTTCAGAAAGTGATTTGCTATTCCCAGTTCCCAGTTGGAATGACTGTGTAAGAACACTCCAGAAACCATATTGTCTACTTTCTATTGTCATCAAAATATGTACAGTGCATCCGGAAAGTATTCAGATTTTGTTATGTTACAGCCTTAATCCAATATGGATTCAATTCATTTTTTCCCCCTTAAAATTCTACACATAAAACCCCATAATGACAACATGAAAAGAATTTTTTGCAGATTTTTGCAAATGTATTACAAACAAAAAACGAATAAATCACATGTACATAAGTATTCACAGCCTTTGCCATGAAGCTCAAAATTGAGCTCAGGTGCATCCTGTTTCCACGGATCATCCTTGATGCTTCTGCTGCTTAACTGGAGTCCATCCATCCATCCATTTTCTACCCTTTAATCCATTTCTGGGTCAGGGGGGTGGCAATCAGAGATGCCACCCAAGTCTCATAGCACCAGCCCCTCACTGACCCTCTGCAGGTGGTGAGTCCACAGGAGGACGGCTGCTCTCTGACTGTGAGCATAGCCTTGATCTTTCAGTGGGGGCTTTGGGCAAAGTGGGGTTAAGTGTCTTGCCCAAGGACACAACGACAGCAGTCATCAGTGGAAGTTCAGTTGATTTGACTTGATTTGGAAAGGGACACACCTGTATATATAAGGTCCCACAGTTGACAGTGCATGTCAGAGCACAAACCAAGCATGAAGTCAAGGGAATTGTCTGTAGACCTCCGAAACAGGATTGTCTCGAGGCACAAGTCTGGGGAAGGGTAAAGAAAAATGTCTGCTGCTTTGAAGGTCCCGATGAGCACAGTGGCCTCCATCATCCGTAAATGGAAGAAGTTTGGAACCACCAGGACTCTTCCTAGAGCTGGCCGGCCATCTAAACTGAGCGATCTGGGGAGAAGGGTCTTAGTCAGGGAGGTGACTAAGAACCCAATGGTCACTTTGTCAGAGCTCCTGCGTTCCTCTATGAAGATAGACGGAAGCCGCTCCTTAGTTTGGAGTTTGCCAAAAAGCACCTGAAGGACTCTCAGAGCATGAGTAAAAATATTTTCTGGTCTCATGAGACGAAGATTGAAGTCTTTGGCGTGAATACCAGGCGTCATGTTTGGGGGAAGGGGCGACCGTAGCTCAGTTGGTAGAGCATTGGCCTTCAGGCCTGAAGGTTGTGGGTGGGCATGGGGGTGGTAGCATCATGCTGTGGGGATGTTTTTCAACGGCAGGAACTGGGAGACCAGTCAAGATAGAGGGAAAGATGAATGCAGCAATGTACAGAGACATCCTGGATGAAAACCTGCTCCAGAGCGCTCTTGACCTCAGACTGGGGGCGATGTTTCATCTTTCAGCAGGACAACTACCCTAAGCACACAGCCAAGATAACAAAGAAGTGGCTTCAGGACAACTCTGTGAATGTCCTTGAGTGACTCAGCCAGAGCTCAGACTTGAATCCAAGTGAACATCTCTGGATAGATCTGAAAATGGCTGTGCACCGACACTCCCCATCCAACTTGATGGAACTTTAGAGGTGCTGCAAAGAGGAATGGGTAATACTGCCCAAAGACAGGTGTGCCAAGCTTGTGGTATCATATTCAAAAAGACTTGAGGCTGTAATTGCTGCCAAAGGTGCATCAACAAAGTATTAATCAAAGGCTGTGAAGGTTTCTTCGTTTTTTTTATTTTTAATAGATTTGCGAGAATCTCAAACTTTCAAAAATGAATTGAATCAATTTTGGAATAAGGCTGTAACATAACAAAATATGGAAAAAGTGAAGCGCTGTGAATACTTTCCGGATGCACTGTATATGTAGAAGTATGTGTGTGTTGTTACAAGGTATTATTGCATTACTTCTTTATATCCATTGATTCTGTTTTTTGAATTGTTCAATATCAAATAATCCTGTGGTAAAACATGCTGTAATAATGGGAAGGAAGGTTTCTCACCCATCATCTGTACTTCTTAGCATGTTTTCCAGACGTTTCATCCTTCATCCAAAGAGCTTTTTCAAGGGAATTAAATCTCAGACCGCTGTTGGAGATTTAGAGCCTAATGGGTGTGGTTAGCCACACCCTAATCCTAAAGCTAACTTGTAAACACATCGAAGGTCTGTTTGATGTGGTAGGGAGCAGGTCTAACGACCCTGCTATGGCTAAAGATCCTTACTCATTAGCATGTCACAGACCTATTGTCTGCTGATATTGCTCGAGTGGAATTTATTGAAAAAGTTCTTTGGATTAAGGACGAAACGTCGGGAAAACCTGCTAATAAGTACAGGTGATGGGTGAGAAACCTTCCTTTGCTTTGACTAATCCCTGTTCGACAGAGCTTACACAAACTTATGCTGTAATAATATGTACAATCATTGAACAGTCATTTTCATGTTCATTAGGATAGGAGGAAAGAGTTTACTGCACTGAGTTATGTGTGTCTGTGTCTCAGGCTCTGTGTGTGTCTGTGTCTCAGGCTCTGTGTGTGTCTGTGTCTCAGGCTCTGTGTGTGTCTGTGTCTCAGGCTCTGTGTGCGTCTGGTCTCAGGCTCTGTGGGTTTGTGTGTCTCTCTGTGTTGCTCTGGCTCTGTGGGTTTGTGTGTGTGTCTCTCTCTCTCTCTGTGTGTCTTGTATTTCTGTTAAATTTATGTTTTCTGTTTGTAGAATATGTGCATCCGTTTGAAATAATAAGAATACAGAAATATCAATGGAGAATTCCATTCTAAAAGACTAAATGAATGTAAAGTGTGTTGTTCCTTGTGCAGATGGTGGTGAAGACCTTCATGGACATGGACCAGGACTCTGAGGAGGAGAAGGAGCTGTATCTGAACCTGGCGCTGCACTTGGCCTCAGACTTCTTCCTCAAACACCCAGACAAAGACGTGCGTTTGCTGGTGGCCTGCTGTCTGGCCGACATCTTCAGGATCTACGCCCCCGAGGCTCCGTACACTTCTCCTGATAAACTCAAGGTGAACATCTCCAGGGATCTGATAAAAGGATAAATAGATTGAACCAAAGCCAAGATCAGAATCTCGACGATTGGCGAGTTCTGCTCACACCTCAATGACCGTCTGTGGTCTTTTCTCTCCTCACTCATCTCCCATCAGTCTTAATTAAAGGAGACGATTATATATAAAAAAAATTCTCGTGTGTCTTTCTCTAACAAGTCTAATTCAGTCGTGTCTATTTTTATTTTTTTTCTAGGATATTTTCATGTTCATCACGCGACAGCTGAAGGGACTGGAGGACACCAAGAGCGCACAGTTCAACCGATACTTTTACCTTCTGGAGGTGAGACGCCGCACACTTAATAATCCCAACTGCATTTATTCAAACTACTGTCTCTAGTTTGATTGTGTAGGGTTTGATTAAAAAGTCACGCCTCATTCTGTTAGCGGTGGGCAGTTATTTACTCCGGACTCGTGTTCATGTCGTTACCCTTATATCGATATTTTGAGTGTAAGCGACTTCTGTTTAAAAATGTGAGTGTGTGTGTATATGGAATGAATGAAGGACCAAGGGGTGTCCAAACCTTTTAGTAAAAGAGACTTAAAGACTTAACTAGACTTGTACAGGGTCCGACAACGCATACTGTGAAGCTGTTTTGATTGGTTTTGGGCTGTTTTGAGTTTTGAAATAAACAAGTATTTACAGAAGGAAACGAGAGGGAAACGAGAGAGAAACCTGAAGATTTCCAATGTTATCTTTGTGTTTGGGTAAAGTGTGTTGGCATCTTTTACATCTGCGGCTATGTTTTTGTTAACCTTTTACAACATGGAACATACTTAATTTTTTTATAGTGTATTAATTATGGACTATGTTTTAATAGTTTTTTTGTATTTAAATTCTTGCTTGGATTGAACCAAAGCTGGGCTAAAGCTTAAGCAGGCTATGTGTTGTAGGCCGATGTTTTTGATGACTTAGTATGAGGTATAACATGCCATTGTAGCTCTCGCAAAGTTGCAAACCTTCACTGGATTTTCATTTTAGCAGGGAAAGACCGTATGGAGATTATGGATAGGAAACGGTCACAGGCCACATGGAAATGTGAATTGGGCCTTATGTGGCACCCGGGCCATACTTTGCCCTGTTCCATGTCATGTCTTGGTCCAGTTATGTCTAGGAAAGGGTTCGAAATCAATCCCGGGGGGACATTATTTCAGCTTGGTACACGGCAGATGTTAAAAGTAGATGCTTTTAAGAATTATGAAAAAACAGCTGGGTTCTCCTTGGACTATAAAGAGAATCGTGCAGACTTTATTGTGTTTTTCCATGTCTGGCTGCCTCTGAAATCAGAAAATAACCCTCCTTAAGCTAAAGCTTCTTTTAAAAATAGCCTTTTCTGAGTTGAGGTAGCTCTAGGTTTAATCATGTAAAATGTAAGACATTTTAATGGTGATATTGAATAACAGCAAGGTCATTGGAAACAACAAGGACAGGCTGGAAGTAAGAATTTATCAAGCTAACCCCAGGGCATTTAAATCTTAAATAATTCATAGTATTAGTATTTTTTGATTGCCTGTGTTAATTTTTCAAGGAAATATTATTTATTAATACTGCCTTTGAACAGCTACACTTACATCAAAGTTAGTTCAAGATGAGATATTGATACACCTGGAAACCAACAAAGAATACAACGACAATAACAGGTGTTATTACCACCACTACAAGGTAGTGGTGGTAATAAAGATGGCAGCAGCAGTGGTGTGTTTTAAGTACTTATTTGTTTGTTTGTTTGTATGGTAGTAGTAATAGTGTCAAACCCACAGACTGATTCATACACGCTGAAACCTCTCGTCTGTTCTGTGCCGTTGCTTCTCAGCTGTGTTTTGTTTCAAAATTATTCCGTTTCTTAAATTCACTTACGTCGCTCTCGACTCGCCGCTCGTCCTTCATGCTTCTCATTAAACTGCTGCAGGACTGTCTCTCCGCTCTCCCACGGCTGCTCCACCAACATCTCAGATTAAATATATAAAGTTTCATTCGCTTTTGCATTCACGGCCTAACTTAATATTTTGCCTGTCTATGAATAAAACATGCCTGAGAGATGCAGTATTTATGGTTGTTTGACCAGAGAGAGCCAGGCATACGTGGAGAGACTTTGTGATGACTCTTCCTTTTGTAACAAATCACTTAAATCCATAAAAACACAATGTAACTCTTTCCCCCGCTCCGCTCTGTGCAGAACATCGCCTGGGTGAAGTCTTACAACATCTGCTTTGAGCTCGAAGACAGCAACGAGATCTTCACTCAGCTTTACCGCACACTCTTCCAGGTCATCAAGTAAGTCCAAGTCTGAGTCTAGTCTCCTACACGCTGCTGGTTCTTCAAGTCTCTCCTGCTCCTCGTCTGCTTTGATTCACTGCTGTAATGACAGAAACTGGGGCCTGGAGCTCACTCCAGTTATTTATTTATTGACCCTATTCAAAAAAGTTATTCAGGACATACAGTATTTTTTTCTTTTTAATCGAACACGACAAACAGTTCACATTAACAAAGACAAAACATTTAAGACACTAATTCTATAATCTCCAACTTGAGTATCCAGATCCATACCTGACTGGACCACTACACACAGACATTCAAGACATAGTTCTGATTGTTTTATGTACAGAATAAGCAACAACGTAACAGACCAAAAACACACAAAAAACAAAATAAAAACTCACATTTTTGAAAAATTGGTGTCTTTTCCTTTCCACATTTGAACTTTCTTAACAGTAATTATTACTTGAGGCTTTGAGCTGCATGACCAAGAGTTTCTGCAGAAGATTTTTGTGTATAGTTCTTTTAAGCCTGGTTCACCCGAGACGATTTTGGGCGTTCAGTGTGTGGTGCGCAGCCACACTGCAAAATCACGCAAACCACAAACATCACACACAAACAGATTTCTCCCCCGAGCATTCCCAGGTCAGAGTGAACAATCATGGCGGACGAAGAGGATGCAGTGGCGATAGTTTGCAGTTTGTTTTTAACAGAGAAAAAGTGTTATCAAAAGAAATGGGTCAATTAGTTGCTCCTCCATTTCCGATGTCCACCGGACTTGGCTACACGCCGCAGTCCACTGGCAGCGTGTTCGTCTGTCCCCGGGGGACACCACACACCAAGAAAAATCGGGCCAAAACAATCCAACATGTTGGATATCCCTGATTTGAGATCGGAGCAGTCCCGAAGTCCTTCTGAGCGACGAGTGCAGTCTTAACACACCACACATGGAAAATCCATCCGATTTTCTTACGAAAATTGGAGCGTTTTTAAGATTGTTGTTCAGGGTAAATTGGGTCTTAAATCGGCCTAATTATCCTGCCGTGTGAACCAGGCATTAAAAAGTTCCCATTTTGCCTTGAAAGTGCTTGAAAAATGCTTGAATTTTGCACTTCAATAGTTGTACGAATCTACTGTATTATTTCTCACACATGTTCAGCCCAGTTCGTTGTGTATCTTTGTCCTTCTGGTGTCTTGCCACAACCTTGAAGCCGTGATTTGTTCTGCTGTGTAAATTTGGCTTTTTGCCGACGGAGCGAGCGGGTGGACGGTCATGTCTTTGCCCAAAATAGCTTCCTTTACTTTGTGCACAAAAGAAAGGAAAAGAGAAAGACTGCGTGAAGCTGCAATCATTCACATATGAATGAATGAATGAATGAATGTACAGTATTTATCACATAGTTCAAAGTCTGTGATACATTCAACAGGATACATGTCTATACAGTACAGATACATCTTACTTACACAACACACACATTAAAATCATATCTAATCACTGTGCGATAAATGGAGTAAAGATACAATCCCTCAGTTGTCGCAGCGAAACAGAACAGTTTGTAACCTGGATTTAAACATCGTCAGAGAAGAAGCCTGTCTCACATTTTCAGGAAGACCGTGGTTGATTTTAGCCACATGAATATGAAATGCTGCCTCCCCATGTTTGGTAGACTCGGGGCTAAACAAAAAAAATAATGAATGGAATTGAATTATTTAAGATAATAAACTCTGGAGATAATTGTCTTGTAAAAATTTAAAACAATAAAAGTAAGAAAATGTATTTTGAGAACCCTTAGTGTGGAAAGAACTTACCCCTCACACAATTTCTCCCGTCTTCCTTTCTCCCTCAAAGCAAATAAGAGCGTGTTTAAAACAAGAGCACTGTGTTGTTGCTTTGTGTGTTCTGTTAGAATGTTGTGTTTAGTTGTGTTTACTTTATTGATATTATTTTCCTTATTTTCTCATGATGCCACATTTGCAACATTTTAATTTGTTCTCGCTTTAAATGAAAAATAAAATGTAGTGCTGTCCAACGATTAAAATATTTAATTGCGATTAATTGCATGAATTTCATAGTTAACTCGCGATTAATCGCAAATTAGTCACACATTTGTATCTATTCTTTATGTCCCTTGAATTAATTAAAATAAAATAAAAATAATAAAATGAAATTAATAATAATAATAAAATAAAAATAAAAATGAATGAATAAGTAGATAAATATAATAATAACATGAATAATATGTGCGTGGGTATAGACCATAGACTGTATAGAAACATCATGGTGTCATTATGATGATGATAAACAATCTGTAAATATTTTGTAAATTTGTTCATGTAAATACTCTATGCTGTTTCTCTGTTTACTTTCGGTATATCTGACTGTATACTGTTTGCTTGTATTGCCTTTTTATTAACCCCTCCCCCCCATCTCCCACTTCATGTCTCCCCCCACCCCCCCCCCCCCCCCCCCCTCCTATGTGCCCTTCTGGTTTTCTTCTTTGGCCCCCATGTATCTCCAACTACATATTGTTTGTAATCTCTGTCTACAATGTATCTGAACTAGTCCTTTTCTTTGTTTCTATTTTTTTTTCTGTATATGTGTTTGTCTGCAATAAAAAGTAAAAAATTGCGCGATAAAAAAAATGACGCCGTTAATATTGATTTGCGTTAACGCGTTAATAACGCGATATTTTGGACAGCACTAATAAAATGTCATAAAGCAGCTGTGCATATGTCAGACAGAAATTAACAATGGATACAACCCAAAATAATGAATAAAAATGCTGCAGAGGTGTTACTCCCACTGACACCAGTCTCTCGTTTCCACAGCAACGGCCACAACCAGAAGGTGCACATGCACATGGTGGACCTGATGAGCTCCATCATCTGTGAAGGCGACACCGTGTCCCAGGAGCTGCTCGACACAGTCCTGGTCAACCTGGTTCCTGCCCACAAGGTACACACGTCGAGACATACCTGCATGTGAAGCTAAGCAGGGGCAGGGCCTGGTTGTTAGTACTGTGATGGGAGACCTCTGGGAACACCAGGCTGTAAAGTGCCAATCTGTGGTTGAGCTACTCTTTTTAGACGGTCAAAAAAAATCTTCATTTAAAAAAATATTTACATTCTTAAAACAATGGAACAACCTGTGGTCTCATTAAAAAGAACACAGTTCTCAGAGTGCCTCCTTCTCATTTTTTTCTTTTGCAAGCAGTTTTCCCAAACCCTTGAGTCGGATGAGCACCTGTTTTTACTTTTGTTTGATCCTGTGCAGCACTCCTGCAACCCCTTCACTCAAATGGAACAGCCAGCTTTAGTCTTATTTCCAGCTCAGATGTAACAAATGCTCTGTTGGGACAAGTCTTGTTTTGAGGCTGTCAGATTGCTCTCTAATCAATTTAGCCATATTTGGACAATTTCTAACTTTTCCCATTTTTTATTACGTAATGTTATACCCATGAACAAATCTATCATAATTATTATTACATTTACTAAACAAAATGAACATTTGGGGAACTTTTGAAGAGGGCAGCGAGCTAATGGTATCTCCCATAATGGTATCTCCCAGTTTGGAGACCCGTGATCTATGACAAATGTGAATTATTACATTGTTTAAGTAAGTAATCTTTATAGAATCACAAAGCTCTATACAATTTTTGTGGACTGTTGGATCAAGATTGAGATAATAATAACGTAATAATAATGACAGACACTTGTAAACGCAGCCTCTTTCTCGTCCTGTGAATTGGTCTAAGTAGAGAGTTAGTCTGAGGCTGTAGTGACCACCAGTTCTGGCTGGTTCATGGTCAAGTTTGTTTTGGCTCAGTCTCTGGAAATACCAATTTGCTATGTTTTTAATGCAGTGAGCCCCCTGCAGGCAAATACAAGTATTGCAGCTTGAACAAAGTATGAAGGTGGACCTAAAAACATGGAATAGAGTCGACAAAAAACCTCTTGAATTATGGTTTTTAAGCTTTATCTTGAGAGAAAAATGCAACTGTGCTTGAAATTGGACTAATGCTACTTGGTACTAGAGCTTGGCTAAATAGACAATTTCATATCCGTAGACTAGATTAAATGTATTTATACTTATTAAACTAGACTAATTATCTCTTCTTTAAAGCTTTACACATAATTTAATATGCATTTGTAGCCTTTGTCGTCCTATTGCAGACAAATGTTTGGTAGCTATTTGTTTGATTTATAAGAAGCAAATAACTTGATCCACTAAGAAGACAGGATGACCATTTCCTAAACTGTTGGCAATTATTGATTTTGCTCTAATACTGAACAATGTCACTTTACTTTACTTATCTACTCATTATCCTGCCCTATATGTACAGTGTATAACTCTACACTAATAAATATTATATATTTACAGCATCTACAGCTAATTAAGCTAGTTAAGAATCATAGCTACTAATTTTATTTTGTATATTTTGTGTGCTCCCTGTGTTTCTTACTACTGTCCTGTCTGTGCGCTGCAACATCAAAATTTCCCAACTGTGGGACGAATAAAGGAACTCTTATCTTGTCTCATTATCTTATCTACTATAGCGGTGTTTACGTGTTTTGCATTTCTTTAGAATCTCAATAAACAAGCGTACGACCTGGCCAAGGCTCTGCTGAAGAGGACCGCCCAGGCCATCGAGCCGTACATCACCAATGTAAGACTCTCACTCATCTTGTTTTGTTTTTCTGTTATTCCTATTGCTGTGTAATTTGTAATGCAACACTGGAATTTTGCATGTTTGCTCACTTCTGTCTTTTGCACAATCTGAGTGAATCTATCTATGCAGACGTCTGTTTTTCTGTTTGACTTTGTATTCTTGGACCCCATACATAAGCTTGTGTAGCTTCCGAGGGTGTCCATTTCTTTTTCTCAGTGTCAAATGACAAAAAATTGATACAAACTTGATGTATGAGTAAATGTGTGATATTCTGAAGAGAAATAAACTGAAACTATGCCAAATGTGACCTCTACATTTCTCCAGTGTGAGATCAATAAAGTCTTATCTTGTTTCCCAGGGCGAGTTTATATACATTGCACAGTTCAATGTGCTTAACAAAACAAGATAGAAGAAATTATGCAATGTTGCCGCCCAATGTTTAGTCCTGACTCTGGGACCAGCAGGAGGCCAGTCCCTGTGCTCCTCTGAGTCCTCCTTGGTTCATTTGGCACTAACATGTTACAGATGGACTTTGATGCGAGGCCCTGGAGAGACTTGTAACAAACTGAGCTGTTTTAAAGTCTATTCTCTGAGCCACAGAAGCAGAGACCTGAGACCAGGACTAATGGGATGGTTCTTCCTGGTTCTTGTCAAGACTTGAGCTGCAGTGTTTTGAATAAACTGCAGCTGTTTTAAAGCTCGTTTGAAGAAACCTGACGGTGTTTGGTGTAGTATTCTCCAAGTAGATGCCGTCTCTGAACTAACATTGCCTGACAGAAGCCGCTGAAGCGAGTAGCATCTGTGTTTATTGTGAACATCTGTTTTCTGAGACTTTGAACAGATTTACATTTACTCATCATCATTCATGTCACGTGGGAAGCAATTAGTTAAGACCGTTAGAGAGATGCTACAAAATCATCAAAACTTGGTGTTAATTTAGAGTTTTATTCATGTCTACCAGATCACAGCTCACTAGCTTTTAAAATAGAACTCTTCTAAAGCTGGGGTACCTAATTTTCAAACTACAAACAGATTAACTATAAGCTACTGTTGTCCAGGATTCCCTTGAAATAGTTTCTTAATCTCAGTGGGACTTTCTTTGCTAAGTAAAGGGTAAACAAAAAGGCAAATCTTATTTATTTTTTTTCATTTATTTATTATTTATTTGTCCTTGCCATATTACATACTTGCATCATATATATTCCCTGTATACAAAATAAACAAATACATAAAAACATAACATGTAGCCAATGATGGTAGCTTTTTACTCTCAAAATAGCTCAGTCCTATCTCTCTTTTTCACCTGTATTTATTTACCGCCCTCTGTCACTTATGCACAGGACAAAATGTTTCCAATAAAATCCATGTTTACGCTTATTTGTTTAGCACAGTTGATACACAAGTCAATGTTCATTGAACTCGACATTAATATAACACTCACTACTACTACTAACACCTACTACTTAATACTTCACACTATTTTCTGTTGCCTGGAAAGAATAGGATGCTAGCTATTTTTATGGGTATAGAAATAGCTAGCATCAATGTATGTTTGTTTAGAGCACTAAACTTTCAACGTCAGCAAATCTGGAGCTACTTTTGTGTTGCTTACTATTCTTTCCTTTGTACTTCTTGTCTCTTGTGTAATGAAACTTATTTTTTCAACGTTTAGTACAACAGCTAAGCCATATTCTGTCTCCTCCAGTTTTTTAACCAGGTGCTGATGCTGGGGAAGACGTCTGTGTCCGATCTGTCCGAGCACGTTTTCGACCTCATTCTGGAGCTGTACAACATCGACAGTCACCTGCTGCTGTCGGTGCTGCCGCAACTCGAGTTCAAACTCAAGGTAAGACGAAGAAAATCTCATTAGAATCATGACGGAACAAACTGCACAGTACAACAGTCAAATCAAGATCGGACAAGAATAAATATAGATAGATAAAAAGGAGGCAGCAAGAATTGAGCTGTATGTGTATAGATATAGAGATAGAGAAGGATAGGTAGAGATGGGCAGGTAGAGATGGAGACCTCTGGGAACACCAGGTGCCACCGTGGGGCGGCTGTAAAGTGTCGTGTCCTTAGGCAAGACAATTCACCCACATTGCTTAGAATGAGTCTGGTGTGTGTGAATGGTTGGTGGTGGTGGGAGAGGCTGATGGCACATATTGGTTGCCTCGCTTCTGTCACTGTGTCCCAGGGCATCTGTGACCATGTGAAGCATCTTTGAGTGTCCTGAAAAGCGCTGTATAAAACTTATGCATTATTATTCGATTCAACTTTATTATAGACTCTAGGTCCAATTTAAAACATACAGACAAGAACAAAGAAAAATAAGTTATTACATTTAGGCTTATAGTCATATTGTATACCCATAAATATGAGCTTGCACGTGAGCGTGAATAAGTAGCATAGACATACAGTATGCAGTGTTTTTGTGGTATAGACATAAGTGCTATCGTGCTATTACTGGTTTTCATTCCAACCATGCAGGAGCACAGCAGACTCCACTCATTTCCTCAATGGAGTCTGCTGTGCTCTGTTTTGATCTTTTACTTTTTTTCACCATGAACCAAAGCAAATTCATAGCTTGCCACTTCCTGTTGCTTACAATGGCAATAAAATGAATTCTGATTCACATTTGAAAGCCCTTGGTTCATAGATTCAATCACACTGATCTCTTAACACACTTTTAACTGTACTGTACGGATAACACACTCAGTCCCCTTCACTCTCACTAAACGGTTTAACGACTCTTTGTTTTGCTCCCGTCTTATTGCTCTTTACGAGACAAATGGCGCTATTGAAACACAACCCTATTATTATCATCCGCGACAACTGCAGCAGGAGCAGGCGCTGGCTCGGTTTCTCACATTATCTGATTTTTCTCTTCCCCCCCTCCCCTCGCTCCACGTCCAAACTCTGGGGGGGGGGATCTGGAGTCGAAAGGCGCAGAGACTGGAGGTTGATTCATTCGCGGAGGATGGAGCCGTCAGCATAATGTGGGCTCTGCAGTGTCTCTGATGGATCATGCTCGTTAGCTGTTAGTGCGACCGCTATTTCACTCCGCTCACATCAAAAATAATAGCGATGATAAAATCTCCCACAATGCTCCACGGCCCCGTCTTTCCTTTGGGCCGTTGATTTTATTATTTTTCTATCGCTGCTCCTTGCTTGTTCTCTCGAGAGTATTGTTCTCATACAGCAGTGTTTTTTGTCAACCAGTGGGCCGTGATGTTTGGTGTGCCTTTTGGAAATTATCCAATATCAACTTATATGTTCAAATAACGTGAGGAAATTGGAAAGCCTTGTTTGCGATTGTTTGATTTGCTATATAAAACACATTGAGAATGAGTTTGCATTATTAATAGAGGCAGCAGTGTTTTTGTTATATTGTCCTTTTATTTTGGCCAGTGGTCCATAGGGAGCCAGGTGTCTACTGTCCGAGAATTTTTTTCCTTAGACCCTCCTGCATCTGCAAGGAACGTAAACAATAAAAAGATCCAAAAGGCTGTAGATCCAGGACTGGGGCTGTGATGCTGGGGAGTTGTAGCACATAAGCAGTCGGACCAAATGTTCCTAACTTTTCTCCGTTTCTGTTTCCTGCAGAGTAACGACAATGACGAGCGGCTGCAGGTGGTGAAGCTTTTGGCCAAAATGTTCGGAGCCAAAGACTCGGAGCTGGCCGCTCAGAACAAGCCTCTGTGGCAGTGTTACCTCGGCCGGTGAGTCCAGCTCTTATCTACCACCACGACTATTACTATAAGTATTCTAAACAAACTTAGGACTAGGCCTAAGTTATGATAACATACACTAAATATTAATCATTTTAATACTTTTTTTTTCTAGTTTTCTTTGGCTACTGTTAGCATAGCCATTAGACCTGTTTGGATCATTTGAACACTGACCTGGATCCCTTTCCTTTATTTTTTTCAGCTTTAATGACATCCACGTTCCCATTCGACTGGAGTGTGTGAAGTTTGCCAGTCACTGCCTCATGAACCACCCGGATCTGGCCAAAGACCTCACAGGTAGAACTCTAAACTTAAAGATGGAAAGGGCTGAGGCGGGGCTGGTAATTAGTTTGTATGTGATCTACAATTTATTCTGCAATAATAGTTTGAAATGTATGCGTACATGATTGGTTTTGACCAGAATCAGTTCAGGACAAGGACCTTCGAGAAAATGACTTTCACGATCATACAAAGAAATTAACTGAAAAATGGCTTAATTTGAATTTTAGTTAAAGGTAGAATTCCTGACGATTCAACAAATAAGAAATGTTTCTGAAATGGTCATTATCTCTTTTTGGGAAAAAAAGATAAGAAAAAAATGAAGCAGAAAAATAGAATTACAAAATTACAAAAAATAAAATAGAAAAAGGGAATAAAAAATATATAAATAAACAAATAAAAACGGGAAGAAAAGATAAAAGTTATTATAATAATAAATAGAAACAGAAAAAGATAATGACTTTTTAGTTTTTATAATACCATAAAGTTCTGGTAGACTGCTCTGGGAGTTCTATTGTTAAAGAACTGCATTAATCGAAAATATTTCTTTCTACAAAATCCCTGGAGCTGCCCTGTATCAGACAGATGTATATTTGCTCCTCTGCTGCTGCTCACTCCGATCTGCTTTCTTTCTCTTCCCAGAATTCCTCAAGGTCCGGTCACATGACCCGGAGGAGGCCATCCGCCACGACGTCATCGTCTCGATCGTGACCGCGGCCAAAAAGGACCTGTCTCTGGTCAACGACGCTCTGCTCAACTTCGTCAAGGAGAGGACTCTGGACAAGAGGGTCAGTGGTTATTGTTAGAAGAAAGAAGGAGATTAAGAAACTGGAAATTATATTTTATACTGGTTTTTAAACTGGTTTCTACAAATGTGAAAGCTCAATAAATTGTTATAGAAATTAACGCTTAAGCAGGATAGCTCCCATGTCTCAGTGATGTGTCATTTGTCAACTGTTACTTCCTTAATATTGGGGGCAAAGAAGCACAATCATGTCTCTGTCCATTCGCTCATTTCTCAAACTTTTCTTTAAATCTGTGCAGCCCCAATTCTTTAAATTATAAACAAATAACAAAAGCATACACATACATATGATACTTGCACATTCACACAGACATACAGAGGGGGGATTACAGGACTATAATAACCGGAACATTCACTGATGTACATACAGATACACACAAACTTTTTTTTTTTTTTTTTTCAGAAGTAGCAGCGACTTTCTTTTTTTAGAAAGAGCAAAAAGAAAAAAGGAGTATGCAAACAGTTACATATTTCCAGTCATTTCTTTTTATGTATAATTTTGTTGTGGGCCAAAGGTATAACTTTTGGGAAGTGTCATTGTGTAAAAGCATACCGGTCTGTTCCATGACAAATGATTCTGCCCTCATCTCAACCTTGATGTTTATTATGGAAACTTTACTGATCTTTACCTTTGTCTCGTTTCCAGTGGCGCGTTCGTAAAGAGGCCATGATGGGGCTGGCGTCTATCTACAGGAAGTACTCTCTGAACGGAGAGGGAGGCAGAGAGGCGTCCAAACAGATCTCCTGGATCAAAGACAAACTGCTGCACATTTACTACCAGAACAGCATCGACGACAGGTGCCTCCTCCTCACGCAGACTTTACTAAACTCTATCCAGCTTCAAGGGACAAGACTTGGACTAGAGCTAAAACCAGTAGACTGGAAATGGGTCTAAGGCTTTAACTGTCTGTCACTTTAAGCTTAGACTTAACTTTGCATAATTATCCACATGGTAAAGATATGACACGTGATGCTTTCTTTTCATTATTTTTTTATTTTGTTATATTATTATTCAATTATACAGACAGACACCCAGTACACACACAAGACACAGTCAGCATAGACCAGACCAGACCAGACCCGGACCAGACTCTGGCTAGGTCTTTGTCCAGCTCTTGTCCAGCTCTTGGTCTATGTATGGTTTTGGTGTAGGTCTTGGTCTTGGTTCAGGTCTTTGTCTGCGTCTAGTCAAGGTTTGGGTCATTATCTAGGTTTTGGTTCTGGTCTAGCTCTAGGTCTTGTCCAGGTCTTAGTCCGCGTCTGGGTCCAAATCACGGTCCAAATCACGGTCCAGGTCACGGCCCAGGGGCTTCATTGAGTTAGTGGGTTAGCATTGTCCATATAAATACAGTCTAAAAAACTGTATATAGATGGACCCTGACCCAAAATTCAACACATTAGATATGGAAAAATCTTGACAAAAGCAAAAACAGTTACGGACCTTGCTTTTGTCTGAGTCTCTTTTCTCCAAATAATTTCTTTCTACGGCTTGTTTTTCTGGTTCAACTAAAGCTAAATGTGTTGTTTTGCAGGTTATTGGTGGAGCGTGTGTTTGCACAGTACATGGTTCCTCACAACCTGGAGACGACAGAAAGAATGAAGTGTCTCTATTACCTTTACGCCACTCTGGACACCAACGCAGTAAAGTACGTGTCACCAAAAATATATTTATGCAAATGAACACCTTAGAATAATGTTTAACTTCATCACCGTAAGCCAAAAAGAGAGCTGAATCCACGGATTATTACTATTACTAATATTTATTGTCATTGGGCTTAAAACGATGACTATTGAAATTCTTTACAAAAAGGACAAAGTGAAATGATCTTCTGGAAGTGAAAAAGTACTTCCAATATTCACAAGTAAGATTCTAAATGTAATAAAAAATAAAAAAAATCTTATTTCTTTATATGTTTTTATATTTAATCTCACCATTCGTTTGTCAGTATTCCTTTTTTGCTCAAATCCAATTTCATTTCAAATTCAAGAATCCAGGGCATCACTTGAACTTGGTCAAATGTATAAAAAAAACTCCCATATTTGCTGACGTTACTGGAAACCACAAAATAATAGTTTGTCAAACAATAATCTAATCTGTGTCCCATGTTTTTAAAATGTCTGTTTGAAATTTACTGGTGAAATGGGACACGTGACAGATCCTATAATTTATTTTATTTTTTTTTTTTTTTTGCAGAGCTTTGAATGAAATGTGGAAATGCCAGAATATGCTCCGGCACCATGTGAAGGACCTGCTCGACCTGGTCAAAAAACCCAAGGTAAATATTGTGTCATAAAATCTACATTTATTTTAAGGATACGGTGCATTCCACTCGTCGTTTAATGAAGTTCAGTGTTCAGAGAGAGAGAAGAGAGGGAGAGAGACCAGCTAGAGAGCAGAGAGGGAGAGCAAGAGCAGAGAGGGAGAGAGACCAGTGAGGGAGCAGAGGGGGAGAGCAAGAAAGCAGAGGGGGAGAGAGAGACCAGTGAGAGAGCAGAGAAGGAGAGCAAGAGAGCAGAGGCAGAGAGCGGGAGCTGAGAGGGAGCAGAGAGATCAGATGACAACGTTTAGGATTTTGTATCATGTTTTGAGTCCGAATTTTATCTTTATCTTTTCAGAATGAAGCATCGAGCAAAGCCGTTTTTGCCAAAGTCATGGTCATCACACGTGAGTCGCACACAAACTATACTTAAAGCGGCAGTAACTCTTTTTGTTTTAGGATTAGATTTTAGATAAAGTTTCAGAACTGAACCAAACTGTTTTAGACCCAGACGAGGATTACATAGATTTCCATATATAGTTCTTATTTTGTGGTTTGAAAGTTCTGTATTCTAGCTTTAAGCACACAACACCAAACTTGTGTGCGTCTGCTGTAATGTATTGTATTGTGTTGTGTGCACAGGGAACTTGCCAGACCCGGGGAAAGCCCAGGACTTTGTGAAGAAATTGGCTCAGGTTTTGGAAGATGACGAGCGAATCAGAGACCAGCTGGAGACACTGGTCAGTCCCTCCTGCTCCTGCAAACAGGCCGAAGTCTGCGTGGTGAGTCCAGTCCCATCTTACTATTTATTTATTTATTTAATAGGGACATAACGAACTAGGGTAACTGTGCTGGATTATATCTCTAAAGCTAAATTACTAGAGGTGGGAATTGGCAAAAATGTGACGATTCAATACTTTTGCAAGATACCGTTTTATGACTCTGGTCTGTGAAAGGCGGTTTATAGATAAAGATTACTCACTTACTTATGCGGGCAACAATTCAATAATATCGCGATACAGCACGTACTGTGATTCGCTTCTGTGATATATTGCAATTCATGTCCCTTCTTTATGTAATTTATTCTGGTCTGCGCATTAACTGAAGTGCAAAAAATTATCCTTGAGCATTCAGGACACAGACCCTCATTACTGGACCTTGTGGATGTATTATACAAATGTGAATTACCAGCGAAATCATGAAACGAACATGGATTATTTTTTATGGAAAGATTGCAATATTTTTATTTCCATGCGCAAAATATCGCAATATTGAACAGAAATGTGTTTCCCCCCCCCAACACAAGCATTTATGATTTATCATGTACAATAAATCAAATACAGTAGTGTATAATGAACCTCTGATACTGATTGTATAAATGTATTTTTCTTTTTTTTACTTGCAGAAAGACATCACCAAAAAACTGGGCAGCCCCAAACAACCCAGCAACCCGTTCTTAGAGATGGTGAAGTTCCTGTTGGAGAGAATCGCTCCAGTTCACATCGACACAGAATCTATAAGGTTTTTTAGAACTCTTGTTATAAACCAACACCAATGGAAATGTTGTGTCCACTCCTGACTCATTTGCTTGTGTCTTCTCCAGTGCGTTGATAAAACAGGTGAACAAGTCCATAGAGGGAACAGCTGACGATGAAGAGGAGGGGGTTCCCACGGAGGAGGCCATCAGAGCCGGACTAGAACTGCTCAAGGTGAACTATTTATTTTTGTATAAACCCTAAATCACAACAGCAGTTATCTTAAAGGACTTTACAAAACTGAATTTGCCAACACAGATCAGAGAATCAAACGGTTCAAACACAGGAAATGCTATGATAGCTTATGATTCTTCTCCGCCCTTTGTGATAATTACTTATTTATAAACCTGGTAGTTTTATTGTTTTCAGAATAGGCACATTTGTTTTGTTATGTTGATCTCATTCGTCGTTGAGCTCATCAGGGAGTACCGTACAAAACCAAGGTGTAGAGTGGTTTATGAAATGGCCTTTGATAAAATGGGCAAACGGGGGTAACAGATTGTACTGGACCACTTCAGTGTCAAAACAAAACACAGGATTCTCAATTCAACTAAATCAAAACACAAACACAGAGCCACACAGGCAATCTTAATGTCTAACTCTAGCACACAGAAACACGTTCTCTCCGACCGGTGGCAGACAAGACACTGATTCAAGCCGCCCCGCACAGAAGGAGCAGGCTGATTTTCAAAGCTGGTGCTGATTAGCTGCAGCGACGGATTGGCCAGACGTGGAGAACGCGATCCAATCTCAGAACCGAGGGAGTAGACTAGGGCAGAACAACACAACACAGACAGGAGGGAGGGAAGCGGGGACGGCGCAGCCCATGGTCAGCCGCCGGAACAAGATGTAAAATCAGAGAACGATGTAGAGAAAGCCTCCTGTTGTGACTCACGGTCTGTAGCTCAGAGTGTGATTAAAGCAGGAGTCTTCCCCGTGGTTTCTCTCTCTTTAGTTTGATGCACGGATGTTTGTAAAGATTTTAATAATTATAATTTAATACATCGTACTCATATAATACTGTTAATAAGGAACACAAATAAAAAGCTAAAATAAACCAATAATTTTAACACATTTATCCTCATATAGATGTGCCGCCATTGCTCTCCCCTCGGTCCGCTCTCCCCTCGGTCCGCTCTCCCCTCGGTCCGCTCTCCCCTCGGTCCGCTCTCCCCTCAGTCCTCCCCCTTCGGTCCGCTCTCCCCTCAGTCCTCCCCCTTCGGTCCGCTCTCCCCTCAGTCATCTGACCCCTCCTCCCCATAGTCTTACTTTCCTGAATCCAGGATGCAGTGCCTCTCAAAAGTATTGATACAGCTTGAACTTTTTGCAACATTTTGTTATGTTTACAACCATAAACATAAACATTTTATTTATAGATTTGGACTGAAAGTTCACACACAAGTAACAGACAACTTCGACGTGAAGGCAAAATGATACATTCTGATTTGAACTGTACAAAACCAGGCAAAACAACAAATGATGAATATGTCTGGACTCTTGCTTTTGCTCATCTTTGTGTCTGGCTCTTCTCACCAGGTTCTGTCCTTCACTCACCCGGTCTCCTTCCACTCCGCCGAGACGTTCGAGTCGCTTTTGGGATGTTTGAAAATGGACGACGAGAAAGTGGCCGAAGCCGCGCTGCAGATCTTCAAGAACACGGGCAGCAAGATGGAGGAGAGCTTCCCCCACATCAAATCGTGAGTCTGAGAGGAATCGTCAGCCACTCACGTCTAGTTTCAATAAATAATAATAGTAATGTCATGGAAATTCTAAAATCCATGATTGCCGCCACCGTATGACGCCTTAATCTGCAGATGAGATGGGTGAAATTAGTCCCTACTTAAACTTTGGGCCATCTTTAATATTTTACTAACTTACTCTCTCTTATCATTTTTAAGTCATAGCCTTTTAAAGTTAAGATGTCGAATTCAAGTGTTATAGGAAAAAACCTCTGAATCCTAAAACCAAAGTTAATCCTTTAAGCGCAGGTTAACATTTAGTTTAGTCTTTACTTTTAGTAATTGCTTTGTTTTGTTTTTATTTACAACCCTATTCCACCTATGGTCATTGGTGATCATCAAAATGAAGTGTAGAGATGAACAGATTTTAAGATTTACACATTTTTTGTGATTTAAATGACAGGACATTTTTAGGCTAAATTTAGAACGAGGTCATACCCCCTCACCCCTCCTCCTCAGGTTATCACACCTGTCACCTGCAGGAGAGAGGTGTCTGTGCTGAAGGAGAGGCTAAAGCTAAAATTCTTCCACAGATAATATTTTTAGTATAAATAATTCCTTGATACTTCCAGTGTTGCATCACCAGTCGCAATGAGGAGCACACAGCACAAGATAAATAAACCATAACTATATAGTCCATCCATCCATCCATCCATTTTCTACCCTTTAATCCATTTCTGGGTCAGGGGGGTGGCAGTCAGAGATGCCACCCAAGTCTCATAGCACCAGCCCCTCACTGACCCTCTGCAGGTGGTGAGTCCACAGGAGGACGGCTGCTCTCTGAGTGTGAGCATAGCCTTGATCTTTCAGTGGGGGCTTTTGGGCAAAGTGGGGTTAAGTGTCTTGCCCAAGGACACAACGACAGCAGTCATCAGTGGGAGTTGGTGGAGAAGGTGTAGAGGTGGGAATTGAACCCACGACCTTCAGGCCTGAAGGCCAATGCTCTACCAACTGAGCTACTGTCGCCGCCACTATATAGTCAATGAAATAAAATCCCTAAATCTAGCATCAAAGATAAATACCAGTATACAATCTCTATCTTTAGCATAATGACTACCCCACTATTCATACCTGTATTCCCTTTGTAGTGGACTTTTCTATACTCATTTATTAATATTCACTTTTAAACGCTGGTAAACATAATTCTATCATATAAATTCTGTCAGTCTGGAGACTAATTGGAGAAGGTGCAGGGTGCTTGCATAAGTCTTGAAAGTCTTAAGTATGGAATTTTGATATCCTGTTTTATCAGACCTTGAAAAGTCTTGAATTTTGGGTGAAAGTCTTAATAAAGTATGGAGAAAAAAAATGTATGGTAGAATTTTACAGTATGCTCAAAGGCATTGTGAAATGAGAAATGGGAAGGTAGGCTATAAAGCTATATTAGCCTAATGGAATGATATCCAATCAACGCTAGCTTAGCCGAGTCTGGCACATCTTTGTGATGTCACTGCTGAGGTCTATTGACACACAGCTAGCCTAGTGGTCAACAGAAATGGGTCGTTGTGTGTTTTCGAAGGCCGTCGGCACATAAGTATACAAGTGCATATGGTTAAGGTCTTGGGGAATTTTAATTTGGAAAAAGAGCAAGCACCCTGAGGTGGGAGGGATGGGTGGTATGGGGACAGGGGGTAGGCAGCTAAAGATAACATACAGATTGTGCTTGTTGTCAATAACTGTTATTAACTGGATTTAATTTTGTGTGAATAAATGCATAAAAAAGAATTTCGTAGAGACGAGCAAAAATCCCTTTCAACGTCCAAATACACAACCGTGACTTGAGTCAGCTTGTTTAAACTCTCCCATTCTCTGCTCTTACTGCTCAGTGTGGTATATTTTTAACTCGTCTTGTTGATTCTGCTGCAGTCCTTATGGATGTGACCATTGTATCAACACTAACGCTTCCCCCCTGCGCCCCCCAGTGTTCTGCTGCCAGTACTGCAGTCCAAGGCAAAGCGTGGATCCCCGCGTCAGGCCAAGTATGCCATCCACTGCATCAACGCCATGTTCACCAACAGAGACACGCACTTCGCACAGATCTTTGAGGTGAGCGGGACATTTTACCTTCATTTTACATGTTAAAAAGGTAACAAAGAAAGTGTTATGAGGAAATACCTGAATTTAGCTGAGATTAAGGTAAATAAAAATAATAATAATTGTAAACAGCTTTGTGACTCTTGTCTGTGAAAGGCGGTATATAAATAAACCTTACTTACGTACTTAAAGTTAGGTTCTCATCATGCAGACAATTCTAAGGAGATCCAATGGAACATCATTCTATAACATATATTGTCAGTCTGGAGGCTAATTGGGGATGGTGGGAGGGATGGGAGGTATGAGGACAGGGGGTAGGGATAGCAAAACATGACACGCAGATTGTACTTTTTGTCAATAATTATAATTACACTATTTAATTCTGTGTAAATAAAAACATTAAAAGAATTGAGCAGAAACTACTTTAAGTATCCTTTTTGAAAGTCCAAAAACACAAGTCATTTGAATCAGCTCGTTTGAACCATCTTTTGCTTTCCTTTGAGTTGTGACCAGATATGAAAAAAATATACCAAGGCCTTGAATGTGACTCTTAACTGTTGTGTTTCCGCCTCTCTGCAGCCGCTTCACAAAGGCCTGGACCCCGCGAACCTGGAGCAGCTGATCACGCCCCTCACCACTCTGGGGCACCTGGCTCAGCTCGCCCCGGAGCAGTTCGCCGCTCCCCTCAAGTCTCTGGTGGCTAATTTCATCGTGAAGGACCTGCTCATGAACGACAGGGTGAGGACCGTGGTGTATTTAAGGCTACACAGGAGAATGAACTGAAAATGTGTGACGTTATGTGTTTGTTTTTGTAGATTCCAGGCAAAAAGACGACCAAACTGTGGGTTCCTGACGATGAAGTATCTGCGGAGACTCAAGCCAAAGTATGTGGCATTTTTATGATTATTATTAAAAGTACCACAATATACAACTATGTAGAGACCATTTTTGAAGAGATACAAATGCAAAATGTTTAGCTAATGTCAGATTTATACCACATTATAAGATACTCTCCACTCTCTTGACTCTTGAAGTGAATGGTTGAGAGTGGTTTATGCTTTGCTTTTTCCAACCCCTTTTCAAAACTATTATTTTGTTCTGTAAATTTGTGTTGCACAGGTTTTTTGCTTTGATATACGCATCTTGATTGAATACAAATTACTGAATCTTAGACTAATAATCCTCCATTGAGAGTGAACATTGAGAACCAGGACTCAGGCTGTAGATCCAGGACCTGAGGCTGTAGATCCAGGACTGAGGATCCAGGACTGTAGATCCGGGACACAAAGCGGTAGATCTTTTGGTGCTTTCAGATCGGATCATGCGTTGCGTCGGGTTTCAATGCAAAGTCTATGGTAGCGCGCGTTCGACCGTCACAACGCACGGACCTATCGGCACGCACGAACGGACTGTTCAACAATGACACACGGACTTGGCGGGAAAGTGAAAAGGGAGGAGCAGGAGCAAAAAATCAATGCCCACAGGAGATGGATTTTGCTCATCCTTTCCTTGGGATGTTCGTGCGACAACCAATCAGAGAGCAGCAAAGTGGTCACGGGGACATCAGCGGACTGAGCGAGCAGACTGAAAATACTCATAAACAGCCAAAACAGGACCCACACCAGGCTTCACCAGAACTCAAGCCAGGGTTGACAATGGGGGACTCTGTGCTTGTGAAAATATGCGTTGTCATGCTCCCGTGACCTTATGCAACTGCTTCAAGTGTGTTCGCCGATGCAGAAATACCGTTTAATAATATGAAAACACGTATGGCGCACCTCCGTGAACACATACTACTGTTATATAAAGCCTGTGGAATGTCTGTGAGCAAAGACACGCTGCAAAGCTGCATATTGGAGAAGATCTGTACACAAGAAGCTGCTAGCATAGCTCTGTTAGCATAGGAGCCGGCCGGCTACTTCCGGTACTTCCGGCTCGCGTCTGAAAACTAGAGAATGCACGTCTGGTGAGCGGGGCTTCAGCGTTTCAGCGTTGGCGGTCTGAATGCACCATAAGACCCGAGGCTATAGATCCGGGACCCAAGGCTTTAACATTTCATTACCTTTTGTGTTTGTTAGATCCAGGGCATAAAGCTGATGGTGCGGTGGTTACTGGGAGTGAAGAACAACCAGAGTAAGTCTGGAAACTCCACTCTGAGGATGCTCACCGCCATCCTGCACAGTGACGGAGACCTGACGGAGCAGGGCCGCATGGGGTACGCACACATCACTCTGAGTAAATTTCTGAGCCCATTGAGTGATGTACATAGTCTAACATGCTGTCCTTCCTCCTGCAGCAAACCGGACATGTCTCGGCTCCGACTGGCTGCAGCCTGCGCTCTGCTGAAACTGGCCCAGGAGCCGTGTTACCATGAGATCATCACTCTGGAGCAGTACCAGCTCTGTGCCCTCGTCATCAATGTAAGCATTTTCACACTTTTAACTACATATTCTATTTGTTATTATTACTACACTGGAGATGGCGATAGATTTGATTCTCTGTTTTCTAAACTATTGATTTTGATCACCTTTGCCAACATTACAATTTAAATTGAGTTAATCCAAAGTATGGATTCATGAGGAACCCTGACTCCGCTTTCCTATTACAGCTATTATGACCTTTTATCCAAGTTGGAAATGTTAATAAATGTTTATAAATGTTCCAGATCATTGTTGTCCTTGTATCCTTCTGTATCGACGAGGAACTACTAAAAAGTTTAGGAGAAACAGGCTGTAGATCCAGGACTGAGGTCTGTGGATTCAGGACTGAGGTCTGTGGATTCAGGACTGAGGTCTGTGGATTCAGGACTGAGGTCTGTGGATTCAGGACTGAGGTCTGTAGATCCAGGACTGAGGTCTGTGGATCCAGGACTGAGGTCTGTGGATCCAGGACTGAGGTCTGTAGATCCAGGACTGAGGCTCAGTTTCACTTGTAATGCATAATATTTATTAATACTCCTTACACTGTTGCTACAATTTGCTCGTTGATGTATTCAGTTCTAATTACATTACTACTAGTACTACATTAAACTACATTTTGTTTTGTCTTTTCCCTCATTCAGGATGAATGTTACCAGGTGCGACAGTGTTTTGCCCAGAAGCTGCACCGGGGGCTGTGTCGTCTGCGTCTGCCTCTCGAGTACATGGCCATCTTCGCCCTCTGTGCCAAAGATCCCGTGAAGGAGAGGAGAGCACACGCGCGACAATGTCTGGTCAAAAACGTCAACATCCGGCGAGAGTATCTGAAACAGCACGCCGCCATCAGTGGTAAAGAGCAGGAGCCGAAGTAGCACCAGTATCACTGTGTTTATAAGGGCTAAAATCACAGCTGAGCCAGTTGTTTTGATAATTATCCACTATTTTATCAATGGAAATTATTGTTTACATCTTTATATACAGACTCCACCACGTGTGAGCTGAGAGATGTGTTTCTAAGACTCAATATCAGCATAACATTAAGATACATTACAACATGCTTTACAAGTGCGGCCAAAATGTGCTTTATTTTACAATGCTGCTGGTCCGTCTTAAATACAGGTGCACCTAATAGTCCAGAAAGTTTGGTATTTCACCTAACTGTATCTTAGATCTCAGCCTTTGCTTGTGTCATTGATCTTAAAGATGGCTGTCTATAAGTGTTTTTAGTCTATATTTTTTAATTCACACACTTGTAAACGCAAGACTGTTTTCCAACCCTATCCTCACTTGTAAAACAGTGCATGTATTTCTAAACTGGGATTATAATCTGGTCTTTCTGTGTCCGTAGACAAGTTGTTTTCTCTGCTGCCGGAGTACGTCGTCCCTTACACCATCCACCTCTTGGCTCACGACCCGGATTATGTGAAAGTGTCCGACATCGAGCAGCTCAAAGAAATTAAAGAGTAAGTATCGATAAACAATACAAATTTTTGTTTGACAATATTTAAATTTTGCACAAGCCACACACATAGGCAGCCCCAAACAGTTTTTTGTGGGCAGTGATGATCCAGGATGATCTGTCTCTCTATCTCTATCTCAGTCTCTGTATCTCTCTCTCTCTGTCTTTTTCTCTTTCCCAAACACTTTTTTTGTGGGCAGTGATGATCCAGGACTTTTATGGACATTTACGAACATTCAACACTGGTCATCCCACTCTGTGTGTTATCGTGTTTCCTGTGTTTGAACTGTTCTCTTCTCATAATTTGTTGAAAATTTATTTTAACCTTTTAAAATGTGTTTTTGTTTATGTCAGGGCTCTGTGGTTTGTGTTGGAGATCATTATGGCCAAAAACGAGAACAACAGTCATGCTTTCATCCGAAAGATGGTAGAAAACATGAAGCAGACGAAGGACGCACAGCTGCCCACGGACGCCAAAACGAACGAGGTGAAGTTAGCACCTGTGTGTGTGTCTCTCTCTCTGCCTCTCTTGCTCTCTCTCTTTCTCTCTGCTTGTCTCTCTTTCTCTCTGCTTGTCTCTCTGTCTCTCTCTGCCTCTCTCTCTCCTTCTCTCTGTCTCCGTTTCTCTCCCTCTCTGCTTGTCTGTCTATCTCTCTCTCTCTGCCTCTCTTGCTGTCCCTCTCCCTCTCTGCTTGTCTCTCTCTGCCTGTCCCTCGCTCTCTCACTCTGAAAATGTGTTCTTTCTAACATTGTTCTGTCTTCTGTAGAAACTCTACACAGTCTGTGACGTCGCCATGAACATAGTGATGTCGAAGAGCACCACCTACAGTCTGGAGTCGCCCAAAGACCCTGTGCTCCCCTCGCGCTTCTTCACCAAACCAGATAAGGTCTCTCTCCTACAGACACAAATCACATTTTTGTTAGTTTTGTTTGGAGTTATGGCTGGGGTGGGGGTTAGACAGAGAAGATGCAGACCTGTAGAGGAGGTGGTGGATGGATACATTGGTAACCCCAGAAATGGCAAAGACAAGATAAAACAATATTGTCGGTAAAATGGTATAAAAGAAGTACAATAGAATAGAGTAATAGAAGGAGGTCTGGCAGTGCTACCAAGCTATGGTATCTTAAATGGAAAGTATGGAAAGAAATCTGCTGATGGCCAATTTATTATGAATGCTGTTGTGTGTTGGATTGAGATTTCTGATTTGCCAAATGTATAATATTGAGTCTAGAACACTACATAGCCGGCAGAAACTGGTCTTATGTCTTGTTCTATGGTTACTGAGTGATCTATACTTACAAACTTGGGATTAATTCTAGTTATTAATAATGCTTTTGTTTTTATACAGAATTTCAACAACACAAAAAACTACCTTCCTCCAGAAATGAAGTCCTTCTTTACGCCCGGAAAGGTACATTTTGTTCTGTCAAGTTTCTCCCGTGTGTTTTTTCCCTCCACAGAAATGAAACTGGTTGTTTTTGTTGTTGTGTTTTAGCCAAAATCGGCAAATGTTTTGGGAGCAGTGAACAAGCCTTTAGCGTCTGCGGGAAAACAGACCGGGAAAGGCTCTCGGACAGAGACCGCAAGCAACGATGGAGACTCCTCGAACCCAGGGTCTCCGAACCGCGGGAAATCCAGGTAAAACTGAAGGAGTTATTTAGGAAGTGTGTGATTGTTTAGGACTTGATAGGGCAAAATTAAATTCAATGTATTCTCGTATAGGCCCTAAATCACAACAGCAGTTATCTCGGAGGACTTTATAAAGCCAGATATCAGTGAATCAAACATTTCAAACAGAAGAAACCATTGGTCCATAAAGGGCAGATAACCAATGTCCATAAGTGTTAATAAATTAATGAGTGGAGAGAGAAAAAAAACAGTTGGGGAAAAAGGTGAGAGAACTCGGGAGACCCACACTGAGGGAGGGACAGGCTGTAGATCCAGGACTCAGGCTGTAGAACAAAGACCGAGGCCACAGAATGCAGGGCTAAGGACTGATACAATGCCGTCGCAGTTATACCAGTATCATTTTCAGGGCCAGTTGCGTTAAAGCTAGCCTGGTTGTACCACACCATAGTACAAATTACATTTCGTACTAAGGTCTGGAGGTGCTCCATTAACAGGTGGGAGGGGTTAACTCCTTTTGCAGATTGAAACAATTGGATCAGAGTTCACCGTGCCCAAGTGAGTTGTTAGCATTTGGCCTTGCCATCTCCTTTGCCGCTAACGGAGCCCGTGGGGAGTAGCGCCACAATCTTTGCCAGCGATTACATTTGCTAAACATTCCTCTTGCTCCGGCTTCAATTTCTTGATAGAACCAGACCAGAATACTTTACCATCGCATTCTTCGCCATTGCCAAACCACAACCTGCCCTTTCGGCGCAAACTCTTGACGTCACCCACATCTAACTAAAACACCTGCCTCTCGTGGTCGCTGATTGGTCGGATGGAATTCAACAGATTTCTAATCGCAAACACAGGGACCAGACCTAAACATTACATGCCGGGAAATTATGATTGAACAGAGTTTACAAATGGCTACATTAAAGCTGGTGTACTGAATTTTGTTTGTTTGTCTCAACAGAAACAGTCTTGTAAAAATTCTTTGTGAACAGATTAGCTGCACACTGGGGTAGTCTTGCACTGTTATTCCAATGTGGTTTCACTTCTATTGGCAATTAAACGGAGTCTTGACCTTGAATCTTGAATCTAGACCACAACATGTTGCCTTTTTCTTATTAGAAAACGTGTTATCTTTTACGGACTGGGAGCTGAGTGAGGCTGCTTCTCTGTGTGAAAGCTAGTGATAGACAAATTTATGAATATTTTTGTGTACTTTTTGTATTTATGTTGTATGTTAAAAAGGTTTCACAGTTGCTATAGTATAGTTTGATATATATCTTTCTCCTGATATTTCTTTCTTGTATTGTGCCATATCGCCCAGCCCGAGTGTCTCTTCCTGTGTCCCAGCCCCAATGTGTAATAAACTGTCACTTCTATCACTTTTGTTGCTGACTGTTGGATTTGTCATTTTCCAGACTGGACAGCACTGAAAATGACCACAGTGAAAATGAAGACTACACCCTCAGCACTGACAAGGTAACAATGACATTTCATATGACTATTTTCCTGCGATATGGTCGATGCCGGTTGCTAATCGCTAGTTAGCATGCTTGGCTTAACTGCTATAGCATCTATCACTCATAAAAAATATGTTTTGACAATAAACAAGTGTCCTATAGCTATTCAAACTTGATGGAGGCAAAATAATAAGTCCGTAAACTCTGCTCTGACAACAGCCCAACTCTACCACAATAAAAATAAACATATTAGCCGCGTCGCTATATAAGCTGCTGGGTTTATACCTTGTGCTATGCTACAGTGATCGACTTGTCTCTTTAGGACCTGGAGAAGCCTCGCGGTCGTAAACGAGGCGTGGCCCCCAGTGACGACAGTGACAGCAAACCCAAACGCGGGCGCAAGAAGGTCATCGCCGTGACTACCGAGCCAGAAGACCTCTGGGGGGACGAGGACCGACCGGAGGACGAGCAGAACAGTCCGCCCAAGAAGCGCAGAGGTCGGCCCCCCAAGAACCCCGCAGCCAATCAGGACGCTGCGCCCAAGGGCAAGAGAGGCAGGAAGAAGGCAGCCCCGCCCCCTGAGGAAGAGGAAGAGGAGGACGAGGAGGAGGAGGAAGAGCAGCAGCAGGAGGAGGAGGTGGAGGAGGAAGAGGAGGAGGAGCGGAGCAGTGATGTGGAGGTGAAGAGCAGAGGCAGACCAGCCAGAGGAGCCAAGAAGGCAGCAGGGTAAAACACACACACGCTTATCTGGCAACCACACACACATACATGCGCACCCACACTCACTTATCCAAGGCAGACTCATACACACATACACATACACATATACACACTAACTCACTCACACTTATCAGGCCATTGTCACATGCACACACACACTTATCCTGTAACCACACTGTACATGAAATCATTCATACAAAATACGACTAAAGAAGATTCCGGTTCAACTCAGAGGAAAGTGAGATAGTTCTTTAAAATAATCAAAGTTCAGAGTAATTATTAATTAGTCGTTAATTATTAGACGGAACATACAGTATTTACAGAGTGCACTGTTGGATTGTGGACTATCACTTGTGCATAAATCAACCAAACCAAGTTTCCAACTCTGTATAATCCACAACACACACTTACCTACACACACACACTTACACATACACTTGCATACACACATGCCCACACACTCTCGCTAAAGCTATGTGCATTAACCCTTTTGACCAATGTTTAGTTATTTTAGTGATCACTTTAAGTATTGATCATCAAAGATATGTCCCTGATCAGATAAAGAATACCAGTATATAATGTGTTCTCCAGCCTTGCTCTTGTTGACGCGGTGCTCTCTCGTGTTTGATTGACAGGTCGGATTCCGCAGAGTCCACGCCACAGAAGAGAAGAGGGCGACCTCCGAAGTCTGCACAGCCGGCGGCAAAGAAACCAGCGTTAGTTTTATTTACCTCATCTATATTCAGTGTTTTTGTTGTGTCCTTGTTATGCAGGACTGGACAAAAACCCTATGCCCTGTCAGACAGAGAGACACGGGTGGGTGTGTCAGAACTATGCTGCATTTAACCCGCCTCACAAGGGTTTTTTACTGAGGCGTATTTACAAACTATAGTGAATACTTAATGACCAAAAGCTTAGATTGCAGGTCCAGCGGTCGCAATTAGTCTCTTCCAATGAGTGGCTGGGCGCTCCCTTAGAGATGGGGTGAGGAGCTTAGTAGAGCCGCTGCCTGTCCCACTAAAGGAGACCAGGGGAAGACCCAGGACATGTGTGTCTCAGCTGGTCGGGGAACGCCTCAGAAGTTTGTGTGGAAAGGGAAGTCTGAGCACATCCATTTAACAGCTGCCACCGCGACCCGGCAATGGATAAAGTGGAAGAAAATGGATGGATTGATAAAACCAAACTGTTCTCGGCTGACTGGATCCTACAGCTCTTTCATCATGAACTCCTGTATCTTCTGTTGAACAAACTCCTCGTTCTTGCGTATTCTAGAAAATCCAGACTGTATTGCGGAAAAAGCCCATTTAAACAGCTGGAGGAAAAATCCTTATAGGGGAATTTGCGCTGTTGGCTTCGTGCTGTTAGCTTTGCACTGTTAGCTTTGAGCTCTTAGCTTTGCGCCCTTAGCTTTGCGCCCTTAGCTCCGTGCCCTTAGTTTTGTGCCCTTAGCTTCGCGCCCTTAGCTTTGCGCCCTTAGCTCCGTGCCCTTAGTTTCGTGCCCTTAGCTTCGCGCCCTTAGCTTTGCGCCCTTAGCTTTGCGCCCTTAGTGGTGGCGAAAGTGTTGCTAAGACAGTTTTTTAGCTGGAGATTGCCCTGCGAATGAAAGCATCTGGTGGCAACAATGGCTCAGTTGGTAGAGCATTGGCCTTTGAGCCTGAAGGTCGTGGGTTCGAGACCTACATTACGACTCCCACTGATGACTGCTGTCGTTGTGTCCTTGGGCAAGAAACTCAACTCCACTTTGCCTGAAGCCCCTGCTGGAAGATCAAGGCTCCTGTGGACTCACCACCTGCAGGAGGATCAGTGAGGGGCTGGTGCTAAGTGTACTGGGTGCAGCTCTGACTGCCACCCCCCCTGACCCAGAAATGGATTAAGGGGAAGAAAATGGATGGATGGATGAAAGCATCTGAAATTAGCCATACAACACAAGGATTATAGAGAGGGCTAAACCACATTATATTAGCAAGCTTTATCCATGAGCACTTCCCTATGGGGTCTGAGATTCATGTCTGATGAAGGGCCTCAGCCCGAAACGTTGCGTGGTCTGACAAATAAAAGACACTCATTGGGAGCAACATAGCTGTGCGTATTTTTCACTATTTTCTCTTCCCTATGGGGCTCAAAGTTTAGCATCTTGCATCTTTATACAGTCTTTGGCTAAATCTTCCAAAATGTTACTTCCAACTTCTACCACTAGATGGGAGTATTCTGCACATTCTGAACTTGATCAATGCATGGAAGGTTAAAGCAAACATTCTCAAGATGATGTTTGTGTTTCTCAGACGTGGTCGGAAAGCAGCCGCTAAAGACGACTCTGAGGAAGAGGAGGAGGAAGATGAAGAGGAGCAGGAAGACGAGCCAACGCCGAAGGTAAAAGAGGCCCCAGGATTCTGCTCTCGAGGGATTTGTGCAACAAATCGTTTTATTCCCCTTTAAATCCTTAAGACTATATTTATTTTTATATCATTGAGTCTCTTTTGAAAGTGCAAATGTGATTTGTCCATCGTTTTGTAAGTCACTGATCATGCCATGGGTAAGTCGGATCCCGTTAGACCTCTGAAGATAAGCGGGGAAAGGTCTGGTTAGGACTGTGATGGGAGACCTCTGGGAACACCAGGTGCCACAGTGGAGCGGCTGTAAAGTGCCAAACTGTTGTTGTGTCCTTAGGCAAGACACTACACCCACATTGGTTAGAATGATATGTGTGGGAATGGATGTGTGTGGATGGGCACAGACTGGTTGCTTTGCCTTTGTCATTGTGCCCCAGGGCAGATGTGGCTACAGTTGTAGTTTATCACCGGCGTGTATGGAGTGAATGAATAAATTACATGTGAGTTTCCTAAAAAGTTACTAAATTATGTATGTATTATGTATCATTGAGCCCCGGACTATAAGCTTTTATAAAACACCTGTCAAATTTCTCAAGTTTGTCGAAGTTTTGTAAATAAAGATAATTGATTTGAATAGCATTTTCTAAGACTCTAATCAGTGGTAACACACGTTGACAGAGGTGTCTCTCCCCACAGGGTCGTAAGAAGGCGGTCGGTCGGAGGAGATGAATCCAGCAGCAGCAGCACTAAGGAGCTCCTCGACTTTTTGACTCTCTGAAAAAAAGACGATACTCGAACTCCCTGAACTTTTTAAACGGAATACAAAACCTTTTCAGACGTTGACGTTCCAACTGTTACTCGACCTCACGCCGTCGATCCTTTTGCATTGTGTTGCATTGTGCCTCCATCTGCCACTCAAACACACACACCACCATCGGCTAAAAGAGAAAATCAAAAAAATCATCTGTATATACTGTTTCCTGTTTCGTTGTCGTTCGTTTGCCGACTGGGGGAGGGGACGTTGTAAAGCCTTATTTTGCTTCAAAAAAAATCTCAGTTCAAAAGCAATATGTCAAAAACCCATTCCCCTCATTTTCTCACTTCTCCCCAAGTTTTTAAGAGATTATCGTAATGTTGATTGTGCATTTTAAAAAGAACAGCCCTCGCATTTGTTTACAGCTCTGTATATTAAAGCATTTTTTTACCATGAATTGTCCAAATGTAGAGATAACATTGTAGTTCTCCTGTCTTTTTTTGTTTTAGCCTGACGTCATGCAGCTGTGGTAGTCGTCCTGTGTCACTGCTTCACATCCACCCAGTCAGGCCTCTGTTGTATCAATATAATTCTCTATAAAAAAGAAACCCATGCATTTCTCCTTATTTCTTTACTGAGACGAGCCCAGATCAAAAATGCGAATCCAGGACTTGTTCTATACTGTATATATAATTAGACAATGCTAACCTGCTAGCATGGACAGTTTTGCTCATTCTCGCTCTGGTTCCTATTGCTCTTAAACTGTTTGTGTCACACTCAACATTTTGGGAGTCCATACGGTTACACCGCAAAGCTAATCCCGTCGGAAGAAATGCCCATATAAGGACTCCTCGGTCAATCCACTCCTACACGTGGCTTTTTATACAAGGACCTGGTTTCAGCCATGTATTCCCTACGTCTTGCTTCTACGTTTTTGTTTTTTTATGAGAAACTACCATGGCATGTAATACATTTTAAATTTTCTCTAACAAACTCATATTTTAATTCATTATACTAAAGTTACCCAAAATGTAGTTGGTAGTAGATTGAGAATTGTTCTACAATAGTAAGTAAGAAAGTAATATTTATTTGTATAGCACATTTCATGGACCAAGGTTTCAAAGTGCTTTATATTTTTTAGGTAATTTCCACTCTCCACACTTGCTATTTTTACAAGACTGACAAAACAATCTATGGTCAAGACGAATATGTATTATTTGTAAGAAAGACTGTTTTAGGTACCCCAGCTTTAATAGGCGAGACTCGAAATACATTATTTCATATATTTTTAGACCCTGGCATAAGCATAGTCCTGTCAGTGCAAGAATGTATTTTTTTTTTAAATATTTTTTTCAAATAGCTAAAAGTAACCAGAAGCGTCCAGGCGGACACCGGCAGAACACACACACGCAAAGCCATTCCAACCAAACCATTTACTTTGGTTTCCATTCCCTTTCACCTGCACATCCTAGATATTCATGAGAGCCTGACGTTTCCTAGCAACAGTCCTGGTCTCAGCTGCAGTAATGTCCGAAGGGGAAGGACTGTTTGGATAAGTTTCTGCTGAGAGAGACGCCCACTGAGATTATGGCAAATGCAAATTGAGATTACATTATGAGGATGTTCTGCACCTGAGCCGTGTGCATGAGGAGCCACTTTATTTGAATTTATTATTTTGTTTTGGTCTAACCAGCGATCTATAAATGCAACACCCCATTCAGTCACAATGGAACATAAAGACGCTATCATGGATCTATAATAATAACGGATGCTATTTACACAATGGTCAAAATTAGAAAACGTGTATACTCGGTCCTGGGGGAAAAATTAGGGGAAAAAACTTGTACTGCTTAGCTACCTGACAGAACCTTTTTAATAAACATAAGGAGACATATTAACTTAATGCATTTAATTAGAAAAGGGACTACTTTATGAGCCAAGAGCTAGCTGTTAGCTAAAGCTCGTTAGCAACTTATGCTATGACCAAAATGATGACGAGAAAGAAGAAGAAACGTCTTCATACATTCAACAAAAATATGGATCATGTTTAGCAACTTATTTCACCATCCTCCTGTAGACCTTTAAACGTAACTTTATAATACAAACTAACTAACGGTTTGTGTGTTGCTATGGTGACGCCGCAGCGGAGTGATATGGAACTTCATATTTACAGTCTATTTATGGAACCTGTAATTTAACCATTAGACCCTAAATATTCATATTTAACATAAGGTTTAATTGGAATCCTCAATAGACCGTGGTTTAATATGTGTAACTGCTAATGAATGCTTAAATTAGTACATTTTGACTTAAAATAAGAGTTGTCAATGGGACACGCAGCCGTTGGAGAATGGGTGTGAATAGGTTTTTTTTTTTTTATCTTTTTATTATCTTTAATGCATGCTATAACTGGTGAATAACTGAAAGATAAATTTACTTTTTTATTAATCAAAATTGTCTTACTAAAATTCTTTTTGTGGTTCTTTTGAAATACAAGTTAGATTTGACTTGTTAGAAGCCAAACTAACTTGTGTTTCAAAAGAACCACAAAAAACAAAAGGTTTCAACGTTTCATAAGCGGAGTAATTACACATCCAAAAAGAGGTATGGTTAGATCAAAATATAATACTCATTAATCATTTAAAACACATAATTTGTTTTAATAATAATAAAGTAGAACCTTTCAGACGGGCTGATTATTAATGCAGAGAATATTACACTTTGTAGAATCAAAATGTGAGGAAAGTGACTCAAAACTTTCTCTGTCACTGACCCCTGCACGCGCTCCGTGACTGATCTGGAGTCTGGACACCGCTTTGCTGGACAATCATTAACCATCATACTGCCCCCCTCTCACACCATACACAGACACACATACTGGACACACACTTTAGGACAAACACACTGAACTGAACTGAACTGGACTGGACTTAAACTTCTTCCTTCAAAACATCTCCAAACAAACCACGATGCGCGCCTTGCTCCTCTGCGCCTTCGCTTCCCTCGCTTGTGCCAAACCCAACTCCGGTCTGAAGACTTGGAGCCGCTTCCGAAAGCTCCCATCCCCGGGAGACAAGGCTTTCCTCTACGACACCTTCCCCGACGGCTTCATGTGGTCCGTGGGCACCGCTGCGTACCAAGTCGAGGGTGCGTTCGAGAAGGACGGGAAAGGTCTCTCCATCTGGGACACCTTTACGCGCGGCGGGAACAGAGTCATATATGGAGACGTGGGCAGCGACAGTTACCACAACTTGAACGCAGACGTACGCGCCATCAGCCAGCTCGGGGTCACGCACTATCGCTTCTCTCTATCCTGGTCTCGGATATTCCCCAACGGGACGCGCGGGAGCTATAACGAAATCGGTGCCAATTATTACCGCGCGTTGATTAAGAAGTTGAAGGCCATACGGGTGCAGCCGGTGGTGACCCTGTACCACTGGGATCTACCTGAGCAGCTACAGCGGAGTCTGGGAGGATGGAGCAATCCGCAGCTGGTGGAGATCTTCCAGGATTACGCCGACTTCTGCTTCCAGGCGTTCGGGGACGACGTGAAATACTGGATCACCATCGACAACCCGTTCGTGGTGGCGCAGCACGGGTACGGGACCGGGGTGGTGGCGCCCGGGATCAAGACCGACCCCGAGCTGCCCTTCAGAGTGGGGCATATTCTGTTGAAGGTGAGTGAGGTGCATGGATATGGAGCCCCGTTTCCACCAGCCCTGTGGCTCTACTTTACTCTACTCTATTCTGAACCACCTCTGCTGCTGTGACCCTTGTTAGTAACTTATTAATTCATTAATTGTTAGTAATTATGTTTATTTGGATGTGTTGCTGCTGCTGGACACCTCAATTTCTCCTACAGAGATCAATAAAGTAATTCTACTCTGCTCTACTCTGCTCTGCCCTGCTCTGCTCTGCAATAATTACTATCTCTCTATTTGGGAAAAAAATAGATTTAGCATCGCAAACACAACTCAACATTTTATCAACAGATGTTCCTCAACATGGCTTACTACTAAAGGCTGGAACAGTTGTTTTGTGTTTTACAATCAAATTATGTAAAAAAAAAAAAAAAAAAGCAGAGAGGATGCGAAAATCCACTGGAGAAATGCTAATGTTTTGTTTTGAAAAATACTAATATATTCAGAATTTCACTCTGAACCAGAGCAGATACAGTGGTCCGAACCAACTAGACTGCTTGTTCTATGTCTCTTTCTCCTCCACCTCTGCCCTCAGGCCCACGCAGCTGTGTGGCACCTGTACCACCGCCACTACCGCCACCGCCAGAGGGGCCGAGTCTCCATGGCCCTGGCCTCTCACTGGATCAAACCGAGCCGGACCAGGAGAGAGAGCCTGCAGCAGTGCCAGTGCTCCCTGGACCACGTGCTGGGCTGGTTCGCTCGCCCTCTCTTCACAGACGGAGACTACCCCCCCTGCATGAGGGAGCGGCTGGGGGCCAAGCTGCCGTCCTTCACCGCGGAGGAGAAGCAGCACATCCAGGGCACGGCCGACTTCTTTGCCCTGTCCCACGGCGGAGCTCTGAGTTTCCAGCTCATCAACGACAGCCTGAAGTTCGGGCAGCAGGAGGAGCTGGACCTGAGGATGCTGCTGTACTGGATCAACCAGGAGTACGACCGGCCGCCCATCTTTGTGGTGCAGAGCGGATGGTAAGACCAGGAGGGGGACTTAAAGCTGGGGAACCTAAACTTAGTTATACAGCCATGGACTCTATATCACGGGTGGGCATTATTTCAACCTGGGGGCCACAGTGGGATATTACCACCTCGTGAAGGGACTCTCTAATTTATCTTTTACAAATTGTTTTATGCCGTCTGGTCTGTAAGTAAAAGGCACTTATTGGGAGAGACATAGCTGCCCAGATTGTTGTCACTGTTTTCACGGTTTGCACTTTTTAATCCAGCACGCTAGTCCAGACTACAGGGATGTGCGGAAATCTCTCAATAATACTAATGATAAGATCTCTGTCTCTCTGTCTCTCTCTGTGTGTGCAGTCTCTCTATCTCTTTCTCTGTCTCTCTCTATGTCTCTCTCTCTCTGTGTCTCTCTCTCTCTCTGTCTCTCTCTCTCTGTGTCTCTGTCTCTCTCTTTCTCTCTCTCTGTGTGTGTCTCTCTCTATCTCTCTCTGTCTCTCTCTATCTCTGTCTCTCTCTCTAATTAAGGAAATAAATCGCATCCCAAACTTCTATTGTTGACCCATTTTATGCTCTGCCTTTTAACATTGCGTGAGTTGTTTGGTCCTTTTATTTCTATATTTATACATATATGCACACACAGATTTTCCTATTTGATTTTTATAATTTTACCATTGTACTTTGGATTTCTTTTGATTAGTATTTTATTGTGCAGTACTTTGGAAACTGTTTATGAAACGTGCTATACAAACCAAGTGGATTTGATAATATTGAATTGTGGCCTAAAAATCACAATATAACGATCGACTCCTCTAAATGCAGTCTGTTTAAACACGACCCAAACCTCCTCAGTCAATATTGACTTTATGACTTTACTGCAGTGTAGTGTTTTGAAATGCCTCTGTCGCTGCTCTTCTCAGGTATGTGCTCGGAAACACTAAGACCGAAGACCCCAAACACATGTTCTATCTGAAGAGGTTCATCGCGGAGGCTCTGAAATGTTAGTACTGCAGCCGTGAACACCTGCTGTGCTTTGTTTTTGTCCATTTTCAAATCAGTTCTCAAACATGTATTGGTGTCTTGTAATAAGAGCGGCTCTCAGTGCAGAGAGACGTCGGACTGAAATGGGCTGTAACAGGAAAACCTTTTTTGTGTATTTGGAGATTTTTTCAATTAGACAACATTTTTATTTTTTACTATTTTGTGTTTTTAAAATAACCTTCTAAGCCTTAAGGTAGTTGATTAATCACATATCAAGTATTTAGATAGGTGTCATCTATTTTAGTAATCACACTTTTTCCTACTTTTTTCAAGTCAACCTGGATTTAATATTGTCTGAGTGGAAGCCTGTCTCACATTTTTAGGAAGACCACTCCAGATTTAGTTCTAACATGAGGATAATATACAGAGGTGAAAATACATGGAGATATAAACTAAATGTTAATCAGAAAAATGGGATTTTGGCCCCAACTCGGACTCTGGGGAGCACAGGGACTGGCCTCCTGCTAGGACTCTGATGAGCACAGGGACTGGCCTCCTGCTAGGACTCTGAGGAGCACAGGGACTGGCCTCCTGCTAGGACTCTGAGGAGCACAGGGACTGGGCTCCTGAATATGTGAGACAATCCTCTTCTCTGACAATGTTCAAATCCAGATTAAAACAGTTCTGTTTAGCTGCAACAACTGAACGATTGTATTATTTAAATGTTCAGTGATTATGATTTAATGCCTTGTGTATGAACTGTGCTATACAAATAAACTTGGGTCTTGGTGCTTTCTGTTACGCCAGCGATAGTGATTGACGGCGTAAACGTGATCGGATACACGGCCTGGTCTCTGATCGATGGATTCGAGTGGTATCGAGAGTACGGGATCAGGCTGGGACTTTACTATGTGGACTTCAACACTCCAGACATGAAGAGAGAGCCCAAGACCTCTGCTGCTTTCTACAGGTTCACATCTGTCTCTCTCTGTCTCTGTCTCTCTCTCTGAATCTGTCTCTCTCTCTCTCTTTCTGTCTCTCTCTCTCTCTCTCTATCTGTCTGTCTCTCTGTCTGTCTCTGTCTCTCTCTCTTTTGTTTCTGTCTGTCTTTCTCTGAATCTGTCTCTCTCTCTCTCTTTCTGTGTGTGTCTCTCTCGCTCTCTTTCTCTCTGTCTCTCTTTGTCTTTCTGTCTATCTTTCTCTTTCTCTCTGTCTTTCTCTCTTTCTCCCTTTCTCTCTGAATCTCTCTTTCTTTCTGTCTCTCTCTCTCTCTCTCTCTCTGAATATGTCTCCCTCACTGTCTTTCTGTCTGTCTCTCTCTGTCTCTCTCTGAGCTCCTATAGTTCTTTCACTCATTACCCAAAGCTGGCCATTACACAGAAACCTACAGCCTTAATACTACATCTATGAGATATGAAACCAATTTTTAATTTGTTTTTTAGATCAGTGATTCTGAAAAATGGCTTCCCGGAGCTGCCTGAACACAGACCGGCTCAGGGGGTCTTCCCCTGTGACTTTGCTTGGGGCGTCTCTGCCAACTCCATCCAGGTCAGTTTTTACTCTGTGCTGAAACTGTCACCAATATGCACCTGTTATAAGACATACAAGGACATTTATGAACATGTATTAACATTTATGAGCATGTAGTAACATTTATGAGCATGTAGTAACATTTATGAGCATGTAGTAACATTTATGAGCATGTATTAACATTTATGAACGTGTAGTAACATTTATGAACGTGTAGTAACATTTATGAACATGTAGTAACATTTATGAACATGTAGTAACATTTATGAACATGTAGTAACATTTATGAACGTGTAGTAACATTTATGAACGTGTAGTAACATTTATGAACATGTATTAACATTTATGAACATGTATTAACATTTATGAACATGTATTAACATTTATGAACATGTATTAACATTTATGAACATGTATTAACATTTATGAACATTTATGAACGTGTAGTAACATTTATGAACGTGTAGTAACATTTATGAACATGTATTAACATTCATGAACAGTGGTCGTCCCGCTCCCTATGAACCAATGGTGTAATGTGTTTGTTGTCATTGCATTTCCGGAGTTGAAACCGTTTCATTCTTGTCCTCAGAGACTAATGCTGTTGGGATTTAGGGCTATACAAAAATAAATGGACTTGAATTTAATTGTGGTTTAAACAGCATCAAAACCAAACCGTTTTTTAACCTGTTGCTCACATGTGGGTCAGAGGAAAAAGAGTAAGCTCAGACTTTCTTCCCTTTGTTTGGATTGTTCTGCGCTGCTCTGTCCTTTACAAACTTGTCCTCATAAATAAATATAAAAAATCGATCCTGCTCCACGTAGATGAAAAACTAGTCGTACTCCATTATAATGTGATTCCCGCTGGTCCTGAGTGCACTGGACTGAGACTGGACTGAGACTGGACTGAGACTGGACTGAGACTGGACTGAGACTGGACTGAGACTGGACTGAGACTGCACTGAGACTGGACTGAGAGTGGACTGAGACTGGACTGAGACTGGACTGAGACTGCACTGAGACTGCACTGAGACTGGACTGAGACTGGACTGAGACTGGACTGAGACTGGACTGAGACTGGACTGAGACTGGACTGAGACTTCGGAGTGTCTCCTTCTGTGCAGGTGGAGACAGTCCCCAGTCTGTTTTCAGACCCCAGTGTGTATCTGTGGAACGTCTCTAACAGCGGAGAACTGGTGCGACTGAACGGAGTCTCTGCTCCACCTCTGAGACGAGCCCTGCACTGTGCAGACTACGCCACCATCAGACAACAGGTTAGAAGTAGGATCTGACCTAGCCTGGTCGTACCACACCATAGTACAAATTACATTTCGTACTAAGGTCTGGATTTGCTCCATTGACTCCGTTAACAGGTGGGAGGGGTTAACTCCTTTTGCAGATTGAAACGATTGGATCTGAGTTTACCGTGACGTATGTAATGTGCCCGAGTGAGTTGTTAGCATTTAACATTTAGCCTCACCATCTCCTTTGCCGCTAACGGAGCCCGTGGGGAGTAGCGCCATAATTTTTGCCAGATATTACATTTGCTAAACATTCCTCTTGCTCCGACCTCAATTTCTTGATAGAACCGGACCAGAATACTTTACTATCGCATTTTTTGCCATTGCCAAACTACAACCTGCCCGTTCCACACAACCTCTTGACGTCACCTACAACTCGGATGGAATTCAACTTATTGTAATCGCAAACACAGGGACCAGACCCAGACGTTACATGCAGGAAATGAGGATTGAGCGGAGTGTACGGCTGGCTAAGGCCAGGCTAGATCTGAACCAGAGGAATCTGAACCATAGAAGGGTCTGAACCAGAGAAGGGTCTGAACCAGAGAAAACTACTGAAAACTACTGAAAAAAATAGTGAATGAACCAAACTGTTTTAGACCCAGGAAGTTACATAGTTATTTATTTGTTGTGGTTTCAAAGTTATGTCAGGGATTTAGCAGACAGAGACGATTGTGGTGCGCCAAACTCTGGAAGTTTATTTAAGTTTCTCTCAAGTTCCACTGGTTTACTTTGTTTCTTTCTCTCAGACAGAATAAAGGCAGTACACAGTTTATATAGTCATTGTCACGTCACACATCGAAAGACATACGTGTCACAAAGAGACAGTCACATCATAGTCATAACATGGAGTCCTTGTAGAGTCCTTGTACAGTCCTGCACGTAGGCCATATTGCTATCTAATACTAACACCCTCCCCTTTGATCACATAATCACATGTGATCACTCAATTTGATCAATCAATAAAGTGGAAAAAGAAAAAAAAAAATCAAAAAAAAAAACTTTACAAAATTATTAAAACTCATAATCATCCAAATCAATATCAGTGGATTTTATCCTCTATCCTGGGAAAAAACAAAAAACAAAAATAAAGTAAATAAACAAACAAAAAACAAATCAAAAATGAAAACAAACAAAAATACTATTGGACACACAAGAACTCAGCAGATTCAGTCAAAACACAGACAAAAACGAGCTGAGTCTCAAATTAGAAGCTAATTTCACTTTTCTTACTCTATACTTTTATTTTAATGCTAATTGTTTACACTTCACTTATTTCACTGTATTATTTTCACTTTTCAATCTTAGACTGTGTACTTTACTCTCTATTCACTATAGTTTAAAACTATTCTAATCTATTTACAAATATGTTTGCATATTTGCTTCTATTGAGCCATATTCTTAAACATATATTTTAATCTAATAAATCTCTCTGTGATATTACACTCTCATTATCAGTGGCTTTGTTAGTGGGATTTTGCTCTATGTCTATTCTCATTCTCAGGAATAAAACTGTGAACACAGAAAGACAAATGGTTAATATGAACATTATTATGGCGGTCAGTTTTCCAAATACATTTGTTGAACCAGGAAGTGCTGTCACTTCCTCCTCTCAGGCAGTTTGGGATGAATGTACATCATTAATCAAATTAGTATTATCCTAACAAGAGCTAATCTATTTGAGCAGGTTTGGGGTTGGGGTCAGTTATTCTACAATGGTGTTTGTGCTGGAAACTTCTCAATATCTAAATATCTACTATTGTGTTTTTGTGCTATACACAAATACATCAAAATGCTTTTAAATGTAATCTATCTCATTAATCTAAGCTACACTCATGAACTTTTTGCATTGTCAACATTCACTCATGTTTGAACACAAGTGAATTTGACAGTGTCTAATACAACTGTACATAAAACTGTAAGTAACTTTATTTACTTCTGAAGTAAAGTTTGTGAAATGGTCCCTTTACCATTTGATATTAGCACTGGCTAAGAATATTCTCTATTTTATGGTTGATGCATTTATCTATTTCTATTTTTACTCTATTTACTCTATTGTGACTCTAAAGCTCGGCTGCAGCTTGAGTCAAGGCATATTTCTAATTTGTGACTTCTGTCACTTTTAATGGCTGTAAAATAATTCTGATTCTAATATTATATCTGATCTATCAAAAGGATAACATTGTAGGGTACTATTTTAACTCTTATGTGGAAATGTTTATGAAAAACAAAGGAAGGACAATTCTACTCTTTTACCACTATTTAACATCTAATACAACACTACAATACTCATACTTTATCATTTTCAAAGTTTTTGTCTGTCAGATGTCTGAATACTTAACATGTATATTGCATTTGGTCACAGTTGTGGTTCTGGTTGAAGCAAAAGCATCGGCAATAGACGTTTTTTCATTGGCTGGTTCTTGTTCTGCAAATGGCTGTGTCCAATAGATCATCAGATGTCCAGAAGCTAGGGACAAACAAAAACAAAAGAAAGAATGATGAGTATCTCTCTCATTTAGCACTCATCAATGGCATTATTTCAATAATATAAACATCACTCCCCAGGTTTTTCTCTCTCAGATCCTCAGGTCCTCAGGTCCTCAGGTCCTCAGGGTCCCCTGAGGGTGAGTCTCAGTCGTCATCAGGTCAGGTCATATTTCGAGAGATGTCATCTTGGACATCAGTAGGGTCCAAGCCATGGTTCTGGTCTCTCCAGATGGACTCAGGATCTCCAGATACAGTCTTTTCACTTGAAGCACATCAGGTCATTTGCGATGCACTTCTGGTCAATGGTGCAGTGTCACAGTTCCTGTACACAGCTTGTTATGCAATAGTTACTTTCTATGGTTAAGTCACTTTGATTCTACTTTAAAAACAATTTCTATTCATGCTGTTGCTAATGTCCCTCAGACAAAAGCAAGCGCAATGATTCAGTTTACTTCTCTAATTTTGTTTTTATCAGATCTAATTCTAATCAATGTAATTACTTCACACAGTACAAAATCAAAACATAAAAAGTGTCAGGACAGACGTCAATTAAGTCCATGACAATATAGAATTCAAATGAACATTTCTGGTCTCAAAAAATACTGATTCAACTAAAGATTCAAGTGATAGACAATTAAAAATGTGTTTACATTGGAGTAAACTTTTAAAATGCTTTTTTCTCATGTTCTACTTTTTCATGTATCTATATGTAAATGTGAATGTGTGAGTGTATGTATGTATGTGTGTGTGTGTGTGTGTGTGTGTGTAGCGTGTGAATTTTGGGGTTGTGTCTCCAGACTCCTCGAACCACCTGCAGGTGTCAAAGGTCACACTGTGGTGATGTAAACCACGTGGACACACTTTCAACTGCCTCTAGGTCTCTACCTGAGGCCTCCACCCATCACTGCCTCCAGAAACCTCCACTTTCATGGCCCCGGTCTCTCTCACACCCACTCAGCTCTGGAGTGGCGTGGGGAGGGGCAAGGAGGTGGCATTTCCCTTTGCTCTTTGATCTGTGACCTGTGGCTGGGTGGGCTTTGCTGTCCCGTGTCCACTCCCGCAGTCCAGTGGCCCTGTACAGTGTGTGCCCTTGGTCCTGGAACACAACCTTATAGTCAAATTAAAAACAACAGAGATTGTGAATGAGATTGTTTTTCTCTCTGAAGTCAAAACATTTTGGAGCGCTCTTGGCTTTCCAAGCGCTATGTAAATAAAGATTACTTATTATCTTACTAATGATGACACTTTTAAGACCAGAAACTCTCTTAATAAAAAACAAGACTCAAATCTCTTAAACCTTCAACCTTTAAAATATGTATTATGTACTTTTGTACTGTGTTTAATTATCTTGAACATTTATCTCAGCATATATTCTACTAATTTAAAATAATTGCAGCATTTTTCAAATGAAGTCAATATGAATTGGAGCACATTTTAGAGCCAGTCTCCTCTGCTGTGTGCATCAGCAGCAGGAGGAAGGTCAGGCGTGTAGTCAAAACAAAAACAAAAGTCACCACTTGAATGTGAATTGGGTGAATTGGGTACAGTTCAACTTAATAATCCTAATTCCCTCTTTCTTTTTTAGACGAAGTCTATAATCAATAATCACTTTTAACACAGATTCTAATTTAAATGTTTGAAAAACGGCTTTTGTAACTAAAATAAAAAATACATTAAAAAAAAGCGAATATAACTTGTAGTTTATACTTTTGTCATCCAAGTCTAGAAGTGATCACTTTCAACACTTGTAACAAAAGGCACTCTTGTCTTTAACGTTTCCGCTTCTTTTTTATCGAGGTAGCAAACTAGTTTAAACTCAAAATCTCTTTCTAAAAACAAAAACAACTGTTGGATACAACCCTCTCATAGCTTAACTGTAGATATAACTCGGCAAAAAATGTAAATAACTCACAAAAGCTCTCATAGCGCAACTTTAGATAAAACTCTGCATTCTCCGGTGAACTCTGTTCACGCTAAAAACAAACTAAAAAACAAAAAACTCCCTTTTTCTGTCTGTAATTTAAACCGTGATCACTGAAATATTGTTGCTTCTTTACTTTTGTCATTTATCAAGCTTGGAATTGGTTAATTACAAAACTTTTTGTGACAAAAGGCCTCCTTAACACGTTTCCCTTTTTATTGCTTTTAATTTTACACCATGGTTTCACTTAGGCCTTTTCACTTATGGATCCTATACACTTTATGGCCAACACTTTTTGGATCCTACACTTTTATGGCCAACACTTTTTGGATCCTACACTTTTATGGCCAACACTTTATGGATCCTATACACTTTTATGGCCAACACTTTTTGGATCCTACACTTTTATGGCCAACACTTTATGGATCCTATACACTTTATGGCCTTTTCACTTATGGATCCTATACACTTTATGGATCCTCACTTATTTGAACACAATTTAGAGAGTTCGACAGACCTCAAAAACAGACCAAAATTTAGCTAGTATCCAATTATGCAGACTTTACATATAAAAAGGTGTCTGCTTACCTTATTCTTGTCAAACAGGTGCATGCACGGACTGTCCGAGAGGTCAGCCAACTCTTTTCCGCGTCGGAATATTCAATTTAAAAAACAAAAGTGACAGAAGCGACAAGAAGCATCCAGGAACAGCTCTTCCAGCCTGCTGGAATCTCCGCTCCCAGACACAGCATGCTGGTCTCTCACGCCGAGGAAAAGAAACAAAGCAAACTCCCTCAAAACAATCCAGAGAATGGCACACACTGAGCCGCGCATTCTCCACCAAATCTGTCAGGGATTCAGCAGACAGAGACGGATCGTGGTGCGCCAAACTCTGGAAGTTTATTTAAGTTTCTCTCAAGTTCCACTGGTTTACTTTGTTTCTTTCTCTCAGACAGAATAAAGGCAGTACACAGTTTATATAGTCATTGTCACGTCACACATCGAAAGACATACGTGTCACAAAGAGACAGTCAAATCATAGTCATAACATGGAGTCCTTGTAGAGTCCTTGTACAGTCCTGCACGTAGGCCATATTGCTATCTAATACTAACAGTTACATACTGCAGCTTTAAGACAAAAACAACTTAATTCAATCTTTCATTCACTTCATGTCTCTGTTACTGCAGGTGGAGGAGATCCGTCACATCGGTGTAAACCACTTCCACTTCTCTCTGAACTGGTCGGCCCTGGTGCCTTCAGGAGATGTGTCGCGACCCAACCACACTCTGCTGGGATACTACCGCTGCTTCTCTCAGCAGCTGCTCCAGGCCAACGTCACCCCAGTGGTCACTCTGTGGCATCACACCCGGCAGGGGAGCAGCCTGCCCGCCCCCCTCCACAACAACAACAAGTGGCTCAACAGGTGACCGCACACTTTATACAGATGACAATGCTAACCCGCTAGCTCAATGAAGCACAATAGGGAAGTGCTCATGGACAAAGTGTTGCTCCTTCTCTTTTCTCTGGCTCCTATTGACTTACATTGAAAAGTAAACGCTCCAGCTCAAAGAAATAGAAGAAGATATACTTTATTGATCTCAGTAACCGTTTATGTCACTCTCACCATTTTGGGCTTTAAAAAAAGTTTTAAAAGCATTGGCACCATCCTAGTACAGGATTATAGTACTCTCTATTATCCTGGGGTTTGTTTTGTGATGTTGTCTTCCAGATAGAAGATAAATCCAGATAGAAGCTATTTAAGGAAACAGTTTGGTTCCACCACTAGTTTCACTTGTCTGTAATTTTGGCCTCTTTTTGACATATGTAGAGCAGGTTTTTCAGACAGAAAAGTGAAAAAGAGATGACCATCCTCAGCCAATCAGCTCTCAGCCCACACAGGGCTCTTTCTTAGATTTGACTTTTGCAAGCTTCTACGTATTATATACTATCTATGTATTATTTCTATTCAGTTCAATTCAATTTATTTTTGTTTAGTCCAAAATCATCAGTAGTTATCTTGGAGGACTTTACCAAATTGTCCACTTGCTGACATAGATCAGAGAATCAAACAGTTCTCACACAGAAAATGCAAGGATAAAAAATCCATAAATGTTGATAAATGTCCATAAAAGGCTTGGACAGTGATGATGACCCTCATGCATTGGTGAGGAACTCAGAAAATCCTAGTGGGAGAAAAGTATTATGTTTTAAGTACCCCAGCTTTAATGCATGAACTGCCATAAGGTATATTTTTTGCGTGAGGACTGCAGAGAGACTCCGGCGGCGTTCGCAGACTACGCTCGGCTGTGCTACAGAGAGCTGGGGGCCCACGTGAAGATGTGGATCACTCTGAACGAACCCAACGACGAGATGGTGAGCTACCAGGAAGGACACCAGATGCTGCGGGCGCACGCTCTGGCCTGGCACCTGTACGACCAGGAGTTCAGGGACCAGCAGAGGGGGCAGGTGAGCAGCCAGAACGCCATACACACGACACCATCAGAAATGGACCAGATCAGGTTTTGAGTGGATAAAATTGTGCTAAATGTGGCTTTCAATTATATTTATTTGAAGATACAGTTTGCCCTAGCCCTACCTCTAACTCTAACCCTAACATAATCTTAACCCACATGGGAAGCAGTCAGCAGCAGCCTGAGCAGAGGTGCCCGTATGGAATTCGTAAATAACGTAGGGGCAAGATTGATCCTTGTGGGACACCTCTAACTAGAATTTTTCACAGCAAAGACTTTTGACAGATCTACAAATATATATATAATGAAATCTCTCTCACTATATTTGTTTATATTTCCCCCTTCTCCTAATGTGTATGTAGTAATCATAGACTGCTGACATCACCATTAGCCGAATGCGAAAGAAGCCGATTTGAACTATAAGCTAGTTGTTACATATGCAGCCAATTTCCTTATATGGGCATTCGCTCTGTGGGCTTTGGGCCGTAACATGGTCAGACACGTTGCTAAGGCAAGCTGGAGTTTCCCCAGTGAATGGAGGATTGGTCAACCCTTATCAGGATTTACAAAGACAATATAAACACCAGGATCATAAAGAGCGATAAACCACAATTTTTTAAAAGCATGAAATAGTGAATGTGACACAAACAGTGACTGAGCTCGAGGAGTTTACTTTTCAATGTAAGTCAAGAGGAGCGAGAGCGAATAGGAGCAAAACTTTATCCTTGGCCACTTCGGGTTAGCATGGTCCGACAATATACAGTCTATGGTAATAATGCATTTTGCTGGTCCTGGTTTCACAGGTGTCTCTGGCCCTGCACATGGACTGGGTGGAGCCGGCGTTCCTCTTGAGCCGTGAGGACGTGGAGCCAGCGAAGCGAGTCCTGGACTTCCTGGTAGGATGGTTCGCGGAGCCGGTGTTTGGCAGCGGAGACTATCCTCTGGGGATGAGGAGCTGGCTGCGTCAGCTCAACTCTGTCAGGTACAAACTCTAAACTCGACTGTTACTCATTAAACCACAAGCTACAGTTGTGCTCAGAATGTACATCTCATTAGAGACGGTTTCTAAAATTATCTGGAGAAATTTACGTTGAGAAATGGGTCGAGATGACTTCAAAAACTTGCTCTGGGATGGGTCAGCCATTGTACTAATTACATTTCGTACTAAGGTCTGGATTGGATCTGAGTTTGGTGACATACGTAATGCGCCTGAGTGAGTCGCTAGCATTTAGCTATTTTTAGCATTTAGCTATTATTAGCATTTAGCCTAGCTATAGCAATCTCCTTTCCCAAAAACGGAGCCCGTGGGGAGTAGAGCCACAACATGCAGCAGTGACATTCAATAAACATTCCTCTTGCTCCGGCTTCAATTTCTTGATATTTGGAGCCGAACCAGAACAGCCCAAACTCTTGACATCACCGACACCGACCTACAACACTCCCCCCCCCCTCTCTCTGATTGGTCGGAGTGGATTCAACCGAGGAAACTGCAACCACTAGGATGAGACCCAGACGTACATGTAGGAAATGATCATGGACCAGAGTTGTACGGATGGCTACGGTCAGTCCTGGATGAAATAGGATCACATTTTTTCACGTTTTGGACATTTTTCAAAGAATGAAAAGTTGATAATTCTTGATGACAGATAATACATTTATCATCCTCTGCATTTGGCCCATCCTATTACGCCACTAGGGCCTCAGTCAGTGGTCGCTGTATTTTGTTACACGCAGAAACACTTGTTTTGAGCGGGATTCGAACCCAGGACTCTGCCCAAAGAGTATAAAAAACATGTTGGCTTTGTGTTCTGATCAGTGGCAGTGTTTTTTTTTACCAAAACACAAAACCAACATTATCTTCATAGAAACAAGTTGAAGCAGTTCATATTGTTACAAAACTAAGATTTATAAAAAATACTTTTCTTCTCTTCAAAAATACTTATTATTATTATTATTAATTATTATTATTGTTGATTTTGAACGCATAATTACAATCCCCTTAGTTCCAAAGAGGTTTACACAAGGATTTCTGATACAGACCCATATTTTTCTAAAGTTTCTCAAACAATTTCAAAGCAGATATATTTTAGTGTCTATTCTTGCTCAAACAGTTTTGATACGTCTTAACTACAGTTGATCTCCGTGTTCCATGTTCTGTGTTTATTCCCAGTCTTCCGGTGTTTAATGAAGAGGACCGGCGGCTCGTCCAAGGCTCCTACGACTTCTTTGCCATCAGTCACTTCAGCACTCAGCTGGTGACGCAGGCAAAGGAAGACTCGTAAGACTTCACTTTCAAATATTTGTATCGAAAACAGAAGCAAATATTAGTACAGTACAGTGATGTTTTTGTGTTGGAAATGAACCTTTATTAATATTAATCCCATTCTACACAGTTCAGAGGGATCAATATTCAAGAGAAAAACAAAACCAAAAAACATCCCCGACTCTCCCAGCTCCACATGTCCAGTTACAACACATCAGTTCAATATTACTGATTATCCGAACAACACAACAGACTCTTTCTCAAACAGGCCACAATCTGAAAATGAATAACATCATAAACCAGTTAGCGTATTTTTCGGACTATAAGCCGCAGCTTTTTTCCTGCATTTTGAAGGCTGCGGCTTATAGTGAGGTGCGGCTTATTTAATCTTTTTCCTGTGTTTTTTTTCCCTGTGTAGACCAACAGAATGGATGAGGTCCAATTAAATGTAAGATTAGTCAATAAAGTAGATCAAATATTGCTTAAAAGTCCCCATTTATAATATCTTTGTGTAACTACTTCATATAATAAATAGTTTTTGGTTCTTTTGTACAGACATGAAATAGAAAAGAGACCAGTAGATGTTGCTCTTTATCGATCTACTTCACACTAAACATTCAGAACAGTCAGTGACTCACTTCTTACTCTTCTTACTCACAGTAAAAAGAAGACATGATACACGTTTTTGAGAAATATTATTACAATGTGGGATATGTGCGGCTTATAATCCAGAGCGGCTTGTAAGTAAAATATCGATATCTTTCTAAAAATTGGATTCTGTGGTTCATAATCAGGTTCAGATTCAGATTCATTTATTTGCCATTTGCAGTAAAACCACATTGGAATACATTAGCAAAAGTCCCCAGTGTGCACAAGACAAGTACATACATAAAACAACAGTGCGGTTTATAGTCCAGAAAACACGGTAGAATGCCTCTCAATGTGTGTTCAATTTCTCAAGTTTTAGGGAAAAGGTATTTATGAGCCTCGAGGAGAGGGAGGGACATCCAGCAGATGATCAATGCAAAAGCAACAGCTGTTTTCCTATTGTGGATTCAAATGTGATAAAATAATATAGTAAAAATGTAAAAATCATGTGGGAGTCAATGCAAATCGAGAGTCCTAAATATCGCAATCGGAGGACAAGAGTTTAGATTTACAACAAGAATAGTTGACATAATTGTGAAGGAACCCGTAATAGTAGTTTAGACTTAGTTTCTATCAATGTAAAACTTGTTTTCTTTGTTGTATGATGAGATTAAAGGAGACATATTGGCAAAATCAACTTGTTTTCATTGTTCCCCAGACCTCAGATGTCATTGTACCACATTGGCATCACGCTCAGAGCAGTTTTCTGTCTTTTAAAACAAAAGTATCGCCCCAAATTAGTTTCATTAGTTAAGTTCTTTCTCGTCGCATTGGCTGTGTTTGCAGACGGTAGTTTTCGAATTTGGGAAAACAATATTTGTAATCAACTCCTTCCTCTGGTGGTAGCATAGGGTAAACCATTTTTTACCCTTCATACTTGTTTCAGCATATATTTTTCTACTAAAAACATTATTCACATTCAACAACATGAAAGTTAAAACGTGTCATTATAATTTTGAATGGCCAAAAATAACATACAATTTTTGGTTTTCTTTGAATGTGTTTCTGCTGGATGCTGCTGTAGGTACACGTACTCCGCCATGTTGGAGGTTCAGTACATGATCGACACCACGTGGATCATGTCCCCCAGACGACCAGTGGTGCCGTGGGGGCTCAGGAAGGCGCTAAACTGGGTAAAAAAGCTTCTATACCAGGGGTGTCAAACTCATTTTGGTCAGGGGCCGAATATAAACAATATAAACAGGAACTGGTCGGGGGCTGAATGAATAGTAGGGATTTCCTTTTCTTCTTTTAATTGTTTTTTTAATTTTTATTTTTTTTATCATGCAACATTTACACAAACAATACAATACAATAGCAATAATAACATAAAAGTCAGGAAGATAACAATAGACTGATGTTGACAAAATACTAAGCAAAAACAAACAAAAATAAATAAGACAATAACAAATCAAGGAAATTAGTAGTAACTGAGGGAGGTATTCTGTGAGTGTTTGTGTATGTGTGCGTGTTTGTGTGTGTGCGTTAGAGCTGCAACTAACGATTATTTTGTAATCGATTAATCTATCGATTATTTTTACGATTAATCGAGTAATCGCTTGGCTGTGAATTGTGTAGAAAAAAATTATTTTTTCATCACAAAAAGCTAAAGTGGCAACACTCGAGGACGTATTGATGGCGTAAACTTAAAGTAAATGTTTGTAACAGGCTCTTTGTGCCAATTCTGCTATCTGATTGGATGAGACACAGATATTCATGAAATTATAAAAACAAAGTCGGTTTGAATCAAAAATACTACATTTTCATGTCATTTTTGCTCTGTTTGAGTCAGTGTGAACCAGAAAACGATTAATCGATTACTAAAATAGTTGTCGACTATTTCAATAATCGATTAGTTGTTTCAGCCCTAGTGTGCGTGTATGTGTGTGTGCGTGTATGTGTGTGTGTGTGTATGTGTGTCAAGGTAGTTGAAATACAGATACAATATTATGGTCATCCACACATTGTCCCCATCGCCACCAATAATAATAATCCACATTAATCATCATGACCAAAAACCATTTGAGTTTTCAATTGGAGATTATAAACAATAATAATAATAATAATAACAACAATCTCATTAATAATAATAATCACTATCATTATCACCATCTCTATCATAACAATAACAGTAATAATAATTCATAATTTCATAGTGCACTGCTATCTTCCCTCCACCGTCCCCCCTCCCCTATTTTAAGTGTATTAGTTTTACAGTTTCACCACTTTGTTGTGTGACATGTGTTCTACAGTGCATTAAAAGGCAGACATGAGGGGATGTCCCGAAGTGGTTTTCTCCCCCACGTCCGACCGGCCCTATGTGTATTTATTAAATGTTTTCAGTGCTACTCTAATGTGAAGCATTAAAAGACAGGAGATGGTGGGGGGAAGAAGCTATCATTTCCTATAGGGATATGCAATTAAATAATGCCAATAATGAAATTGTTAAGAGCATGGTAATGACAACAATGACCAATCATGATAATAAAAACGTAATAGCAATATTAGTGATAATGATAATGGTGATGATGTAGATGACAACGGCAGCAATGTTCAGGTGTATGTGGGTGTTCTGTTGGTCAAAGCGAGAGTGAGAGAAGGGACCTTGAGGGAGTTGGTCAAAAAAACAGTTTATTGAAGATGTTTGAATGTGACTCTACCATGTGATCTGACAGTACATTTTTCCATTGGTTAATGTTTATTTTAGTTTTTGATTTCCAGTTAATGAGTATGGTTTTCTTGGCAATGGTTAGGGCAATCAGTAAAACTTTAGTGTCTGATGGGCTGAGTGTTAGTGATGATGTATCTCCCAAAATGCAGAGGGATGGGCAGAGTGGGATGTGATGAGTACATTTTGAGAGCTTCTGTGCTGTGAAATGAGTTCTATGTATTATCTTGTGCTGTATTAATTGTAGATTTGTATTTTCGGACATGTTATGGATATTATTACAAACGTGAGGCCAGAAGTTGGCATCAGGAGCAAGCGCTAAGTCTCTTTCCCATTTTTGATATGGGAGTGATATTGTCTGATCTGAGCTAGCTATGATTTTAATAGTTGTAAGTTTTTTTCTTGTTCTTATGTTTAGCAGCTCTGAGACTGCTGGGGGGAGGTTAAGATTTATGTTTTTGTATACTGATAATTGAAGATTGTAACTGTAGGTATTCTAAGTATTGTGTGCGCCTGATGCCAAACTTCTGGACCAGGCAGGGAAATGAAACCAGTGTGTTGTCCTGAAAGATGTGCTGCAAGTGTGTGATGCCTCTCTCTGCCCATGTGCCGAAGTGAAAAGGTTTGTTGTTGATGAGCAGGTCGGGATTATTCCAGATGGGTGTGAGACCAGATGATGATAGAGTGCAGTTAGTAATTTTCTGAAATTTCCCCCAGGCCATCAGAGTTGAGGATATTGTTGAGATTTTGAAGCATGGGGAGCGTTTGATTGAATTACTAAGAAAGGGTAAGTCTGAAATTTGGATATTGTGACAAAATGCTTCTTCTATATTCCGCCAAGTGTTGTCTGATGGGTCAGGGTGAGTCCATTTGTAAATATATTGCAACTGTATAGCTAAAGAATAATGAAGACAATTTGGTGCAGCTAGTCCTCCTTGTAATTGTATAATTATAATTGTTTTTACATTAAGACTGTTTTTTGACATGACTTTTATTTGACATGAGTTTCACTATTATTTACGGATTGATGTTTCTAAAAAAACTGGATGAAATATAAAGTTACAAATATTTCATTTCATTTCATTTTTTTTTTTTTCAATCAATTTTAAGGGCCACTAAAAATGGTCTTGCGGACCGGATTTAGCCCGCGAGCCTGAGTTTGAAATGGCTGTTCTATACCATGGTCTAAAACAACACCAACTACCATTAGTCTCAAACAACAGCTGTACTGGGGCCCTCTAGTGGAGATCAACATATAATGTCAGTCTGGCCCCTTATGTACAAAGTTTTAAAGATAATTTTATCAAGAAAACAACCATAGGCAGCATTTATATTACCATAAGAATTTTAGCCTAAATGCAATAAATATGACTTCAGAGTAAATCCAGCAGACAAAGCCTTCATTGATTTTGGTCCAGTTTTGTCAGTTTTTGTTTCAATCCAAGCTGCGGTACTCATTTTGTTTATAGAAATACAAAAATATATCAATGCCTATCCATTTCATATTCAGTAACTAATTATTTGGTCAAAAATAGCGTTTAATAGCGATTATAAAAAGTGACAATTGCTGGATCCATTGGCTTCCTTGTTTTTGTCTCATTCTACAGGTACAAATATTTATACTTCCTCTACTGTTTTTGTTACTGAAACACAGGGGTATATTTATCAATCCAGGAGCTAAACTGCATGTGCTAAGTAAAATAGCGTGTGCAATTTTAGTGGTTTAGTTCTACATCTGAACACGCATTGATCCGTTTTTAATATATTATGCGCACATTTTTATTTATTTTAATTGCTGTTTTTTTTAATTACAGCTTTTTACGTTTTATTTAATCTGTTTTTTTAAATACATAAAGCTGTCATGCCTTTATATTTATTGTATATGTTACTATTATCTCTGTGAACGCTGCAAAAAATGATAAAATATGTGGTAATCTGAGCACATTCTGACTCTTAAAACAAGATTCTCCAATGGGACAAAGACATTTAGTCTTAATTCTTAAACTGTTTGTTTATTTTCTCATTCCAAGGGAGACATTTCTTGTATCTTTTTAAAACAAGATTATTTAGCTTTGTCCCGTTGGCAAATTTTGTTTCAAGGCTCAGTCAGAATGTGCTCAAATCAAGATACATTTTAGAACATTTGAGCCATTTCTGACTTTTCACTTTTTAACATGTAGCACGTTGGAAACTTGTTGTATTGATTGTAGCCTGGTCGTACCACACCATAGTACAAATTACATTTCGTACTAAGGTCCGGATTTGCTCCATTGTGCTCCGTTAACAGGTGGTTAACCTCTTTTGCAGATTGAAACGATTGGATCTGAGTTTACCGTGATATATGTAATGCGCCCGAGTGCGTCGTTAGCATTTAGTATTTAGCCTAGCCATCTCCTTTGCCGCTAACGGAGCCCGTGGGGAGTAGCGCCACAGCCTTTGCCAGCGATTACATTTAAACATTCCTCTTGCTCCGGCTTCATTTTCTTGATAGAACCAGACCGGATTACTTTACTATCGCAGTCTTTGCCATTGCCAAACTACAACCTGCCTGTTCGACGTAAACTCTTGACGTCACCCACAACTAAACAATATCCGTCTCCTGTGCTCACTGAGTGGTCGGATGGAATTCAACCGATCCAATCGCAAAACACAGGGACCAGATCCAGACGTTTCATGCAGAGAAATGATGATTGAGCGGAGTGTACAGATGGCTAAGGCTATACAGATTTTGTTATATAAATAAAGTGGATTGGACACCCAAATCCATGATGAATACACCCCTATATGCTCTCCAGCTTCACCCAGACTCAACCTAGCGTAGCCCTTCGCTAACTTGAGTTCGAGACCCCTGTTTTTACACCAACTACTGAACCTTTTAAGCATAAAAACCTACTTTTTGACCAGATCCTTCTTGTTGTTCCTCAGATAAAGGAGCACTACAGCGACGTCCCAGTTTATGTGATGGCCAACGGGGTTCAGGAAGACCAGGCCCATTTCAAAGACAACTTACGAGTTTACTATTTATACAACTACATCAACGAAGCACTGAAAGGTAACGCAGACTATATATTATCACATATTCTATTTTTCTCATGATTTGACCTCGAACTTGAGACGGGAAGTTAATAATTAAACTGGTATTTTGGTCAGTGAAGGCGATTGCACAACACAAACACAGATCCAAATACTGTTACATCATTTCAGGACAGAAAGTAAGATAAGATATGATTTTTTTGTCCTATAGTGGGGAAATTTCAGTGTTGCATCGCACATACAGGACGGCACTAAGAGCACACAAGGAGCACACAACGTATACATAGATAAGTAGCTGTGTATGCTTCTTTTAGTAGCTACAAATTCATAATAAGAGCAGTAAGTATACATCTAAAAAAAAAAAATCCTGTGTGCAATCAATAAAGTCTATCTTATCTTATCTAACTATCTATAACTAATGTAAGTTCTATATGTATACGGTTTAGAAGAGATAAAGTACATTTATGTTCAGTGGACATTATGAAATGATTGCAGTATTTACTATTAGAAAATATGACATGTACAAGCTCAGCAATTCTCGTTGTACAGTCTGACAGCAGCAGTGAGGAAAGACCTGCAGAACCCTCCTTCACACAAGCAAGTGTGGATCAGTTTGTCACTGAAGCTGCTCTCTAGTTCCAATCTCAGCACATAAAGGACAACAAAACACCAAACCAACTTTTTTCTTTTAACTCATAAGCTGCATAAATATGTTTCTTATAGTGCTCCCTGGTCATTGTTTTGATATTTTAGTGCAAAATAGATACAATCTCATTTTCGAGCCTAAAACTGTCTGTGTGGCGCACTCTCTGCCTATTAGTGGCACTACATTTGAATTTTGGTCCTGGCCTTTCCATTGGCTCTGGAGTGATGTGTGATGTCAGTTGGTGTGTGTGACGTGCGTCCCTCTGCGCCCGTGATATAAACCCATCCAACTCTCACACACGCCCAAGCAGCGATTTGGAATATTCTGGCGACATCGAGTGGATTCAAATTAAATTACATCACTTGAAGCCACTGCTGCTGAAATAATTCTGTGGCTTAGGTTCAGGTGTGTAGCTTTACAATTATCTTAGTATGTAAACAAGGGTGGAATGAGACTTTCTGGTGCTGTTAAGCAGCAATGACAAAGGTCTGTTTTTTGTGTGTGACAAGTGAGCTGACAATCACAGCCCAGACCACGCCCAACTCCAAGCCCCCCTTCTTGTCCACTGGTCCTCCAGGCAACGCCCTTTTTGGAGAAAAATTTCAAATGTTCATGTGGGCAGAGTCAGGCTGGGCACAGGTGTTTAGTCTCTCTTTAAAGAGCGACTAAGCTTGGAGTTGGGCGTGGTCTGGGCTGTGATTGACAGCTTTCTTGTCTCACACAAAAAAAAAAAACAGTTGTCATTGCTGTTTAAAGCAATAGTTTACAGACCAGAAAGTCTCATTCCACCCTCGTTTACACACTAAGATAATTGTAAAGCTACACACCTGAACAAAAGACACAGAATTATCTCAGCAGCAGTGGCTTCAACTGATGTACCTGCTGCTGGGGCGTGTGTGAGAGTTGGATGGGTTTATATCACTGGCGCAGAGAGACACATGTCACACACACCAACTGACATCACACATCACTCCAGAGCCAATGGAGAGGCCAGGAGAGGGCGCCACTTTTAGGCTCAAAAGTGAGATTTTATCTCATTTGCACTAAAATGTCAAAACACTGACCAGGACATGTAGAGAGCACTAAAAGAAACATATTTATGCAGCTTATGACAACAAGAGGGATCAACAAAAGTTGATTTGGTGTCTAGCTGTCCTATAAAGCCGAGTAAAAAAAAAGAAGTTGTTTTTCATCTACAGTAAGAGCCCTGAGAGTGTTGTCTGGCGCAGGGAACTACTTATAATGTCTAAATTCCAAGCTTTTGTTGCGTTTTCTTTTCATTTCCAGCCTACACACTGGACGGCGTCAACCTCAAAGGCTTCTTCTCCTACTCCCTGAGCGACCAGCGAGACCCCGGCTTCGGTCTTTACGGGAACATCCACGACGAGGTCATCATCAAAGCCTCTCTCACCAACTACAGGAACGTCATCCAGCACAACGGCTTCCCCATCCAGGGAGCCGGCCCCCAGCTCTGCCCCCGGACCCCCCAGACCTGCTCCAGCTGCCAGGTCCTGTCCAAGGGGCGTGTGCTGGGGTTCCTCTCCCTGGTGGGGTCTGGGATGCTGGTCACACTCTGCCTCATCATTTACTACACGGCAAAAAGACACAAAGAAAGTTACTGATGTAGATAATGTATGGTGAGAAATGGGCGCATCTGAATTGATAAAGAAATACCTCCTTCATTCTTTAGCAGCGCGGTTAACACTTGCTAACTCCTTTTGACGGGTTTTATTTATGAGATGAAGAGTCCCTTTATTTGTCCCACAGTGGGGAAATTTCCTTGTTGCATCACCAGTTAAAGAACAGTAGGAATGAGGATCACACAGCAACCAATAATTGAATTTTACGTATAGCACAACTTAAATAGAAAAACAAAAAATCTCTATCTTTAGCTCAATAAAGAGGCAAATACTGCATCCTGTTCATACTTGTACACTGCAGGAAGTGGCGACTGCCTTAAAACAAGATTTGACATTGGGGAAAAGTAAAATGATTTTAATGTTTTTAAAAGATACAAAAAATGTCTCCTTTGTAATGAAAAAATAAAACCAGATTTGCCAATAGGACAAAGCTTTAAGAGTCAGAACGTACACACATTAGGATAAAATTCAGTTTTACAATGTATGGTCTGTATCATGGGCTGGTGCTCAGTGTACTGGCATCTCTGATGAATGGATAGATGGATGGTCTGTATCATTTTTTGTAAGCATAATTACTCGGACTTGTGCGTACTTTGGTCTTTTCTATTATATTTGTAACATATTTAGGAATGGGTCAGTTTTTCAGAATCTTGTGTTTCTCCTTGAACCCCACTGTTTATATTGGCATAAATAATATACAAAAGTTTTACTATTCTTTAGTTTAGTTTATTCACAATTTTACACTGTTCTTAAAGGTTAATTCGCTACATTGTGAAAATGGAACTCCCAGAAGCACAAGCTTATACATTAGAGGTCCATCACATCACACCACCACCACATAAAGTCAGCCATTTTCAGTTGGAAATAAAGAAAAATAAGAAGAAAATCAAAGTGCTCCCAGTTACATAAGTAAAAATAAAATGATAAACAATCATCACATTTCCAGGAATGTTGTCTCCGCTACCAATAATGATTTAGTAATGAAAATAAGTATATTTATTGTATTCCTATTATGTATTTGAAAGTGTTTGCAGCTTCTTTCATCAAATCTGTAGCTATGGTCTCAAAGGTCCATCTCAAACCCACTTAAAGGAGGTATTTATTATGAATTCAAATGTGTCCACGATCTAAGCACTTCTTTTTGCTGCGATTTGCTGTATATGGTTTGAGATCAGAATTTGTACTTAAGTAATTTATTGTTGCGTTTGAGGAAATGTAAAGTATTCATATAAAGAATATAGAAACAAAAGACAAGTGCATGTGTTTTTTATTCAGGGATTTTTGTAAAAGATCATTTCCATCTTTCTTTGTACAAGTTGTCAGTGATAACCAAAGCTAACATTTCAAACTACTGGCAATTTGTTAATACTATACCAAGGTCATGGGTACTGGGGTTCTTTGATCAGTTCTCTCATCCTGATTCGGCCTTTTCATTTTTGTAATAAGACAAGGCAGATTGACAGCCTCGGCCCCTGGATCCACAGCCTCAGTTCCTAGATCCACAGCCTCAGGCCCCTGGATCCACAGCCTCAGGTCCCTGGATCCACAGCCTCAGGCCCCTGGATCCACAGCCTCAGGCCCCTGGATCCACAGCCTCAGGCCCCTGGATCCACAGCCTCAGGCCCCTGGATCCACAGCCTCAGGTCCCTGGATCCACAGCCTCAAGTCCTGGATCCACAGCCTCAGGCCCCTGGATCCACAGCCTCAAGTCCTGGATCCACAGCCTCAGGTCAGTTATTTTTATTCATTCCTTGCTGCTGCAGAGAATCCAAGGACAAATCCAGGGCATTATGGTCACTGTTCATCCCTCTTACTATGAACCAGTAGCCTCGGTTTGTTATTATTGTATTTCCTGAGTCCAAACTGTTTGATTCTCTGCTCTATCGTCAGTGGATCGTCTGCTGTTGTGATTTAGGGCTATACAAAAACACATTGAAATTGAACTAACACAGAAAGTCAAAAGCTTTGTAACATTTAGATTCCATGGTTTGACAGTGGATCCTGAATGATATTTCACAGAAGAAGCAGATCTCAGTCCTTTTAAAACATCATGGCGTCCAGGCCGTCCTCCATGAACTTCTTGTAGATGGCCATGAACTTGGCGACGAAGGCCTCGAGGTGAAAGATGGCTTTGTTCCCGAGCTGCAGCCGGTGCTCGTAGTGCGCCGCGATGTGAGAAACCTCCGTCTTCAAATGTCCGTCACAGTTACTCAGCAGCTCCGTCACCAAACCCTGAGAGAGAGAGACAATACAGGAGAAATTAATGCGCTACGTGATAATATTGTTGTTCTCAGATCATTTTCATCTAATACAATGATAATGATGCAGGTACACCTTTTCAAAGAGAAATAAACTTACTTTTCAAGACCACCGCCGGAAGTAGCGGGCACGCTTTGATGCTAACAGAGTTAAGCTAGCGGCTTTTTGTGTAAAGTTCTTCTCCAATAATGCAGCTCTGCAGCGTCTCTTTGTCCAGAGACTTTAGATAAAAGTAGTATGTGTTCACGAAGGTGCGCCATAAGTTTATTTTATTATTAAAACGGTACTTCTGCATTGGCTAACGCTAGCTGCGCCAGTTTAGTTACTACTAGAGCCTAAAGGTAAAGGTGCACTTTATTAATCCCCGCAGGGCAATTCAATCCTCTGCATTTGACCCATCCTGATGTTGCGAAGGCTAACGTCAGGAGCAGTGGTCGCGACTACCGGAGCTGGAGGATTTAACCTAGTGTGCATGTTTTTAGTCGTAGGGGAAACCGGAGTGTCCGGAGGAAACCTATGCAGGCACGGGAAGATCATGCAAACTCCACTCAGAAAGACCCTGTTCCGGCCGGGACTCGAACCCAGGACCTTCTTGCTGAGAGGCGAGAGTGCTATCCACACAACCACTGTGCCGCCTGAATGAGAACTCAGGCTGGCATATGTTCAAAAGTACTATGTCCCCCAATCCTGGTTAAGCTGTATTTAGTATTTTTGAGTATTTTCATTCTGCTCGCTAGACCGCTACAGTCCCCGTGACCACTTTGCGACTCTCTGACCCGAGAGAGAGAGAGAGAGAGACGAGGACATTTGAAAACGTGATTGTAAAGAGTGTTATTTCAGTGGATATTATTTATTGGATGTTATTTTCTGGATCTACAGGACTGAATGGAGCGGATCCCTCTCTCAATGTGAGTCTCCCCGAGGTTTCTCACTTTTCTCCCACTGGGTTTTAGAGTTTTTCCTTGCTGATGCAGGAGGGTCTGACACTTTAACATTCTACAACATGAATGGACATTTATCAACATGTTTTCTATATTCTTTTTGTGTCTTAACTGTTGAATCTCTGATCTGTGTTGGTGATTTCAATGGTTTTGTTAAGTCTCTGAGATGATACTGTTGTGATTTAGGGCTATGCAAGAAATTGTATTGTAATTCAGTTGAGAGATTTTGAAAAGTTATTCATGAGCAATTCTTAATTTTTTTCATTGTTCTACACAGAGAATAGCAAAAATCTGTCCACTATTGCAAAGTAAATATACAGACGGTAATGTATTGATTCATCCATCTTTTATGGAACAGTTGATAGTTGCTGCTGAATTTCTCCTTGAGGAGGAAAGTGAGTGTGTGTGCATTTGTGTCTTTGTATTTTCTATAATGTAAAAAATAAAAGCACCTTCATGATGACGTCAGGGGGGATGCAGTGAGTCAGCAGCTCGTACAGTCTGGCTCTCACCTCCAGCAGCCTGACAAAGGAACAGACTAGAAATTAATCAAAATGTCAAAAGCTGCAGAGACCAGAGAGGGAGGGAACAAAAACACAATTTGTTGGGACTCTGAGGAGCACAGGGACTGGGCAGTGTTTTAGATTTCCACAGCTAAAGTATGCAACAGTCTTAATTATTTGACAATAATTTTGAAATATGGCAAAAATATAATATCTGCCTGGGTTAATAAACTTTCAAAAACGGCAACACACACACTTTACCTCTGAGGAGTCTGTTGGCTCACGATGGCGTTGGCCGTCTCTCTCAGATAGACCTCCCAGTCCGTCTCTGGCACTTCCTGGTCTGTGGAGAACGGATACCTGCCACATTCACACAGTACGTTACCCCAGCAGCAGATTCAAATACAAAAAAATCATGAATTATTAAACTCACTGCTGAACTCGACAGGCCTCACACATCAGCAGAGCTTTGCGAAGGTTCCGACCGGACTTTTCTGAGATCTGCTTCGCCAACTCAGGAGGTAGATTGAGACCCTCTTTCTTGCAGACAGCAGCCAACACAGTGCACACCTACAAAACAAGAGAGGATGATCAACTGTTAATCTCACCTCACTCCGCGATAGTTTATGGAGAAAGAAACTGTGCCATAGTCTAACTAGTGGTAAAACTCTAGACTAGTACTTTATCTCATCTTGCCAAGGCACACTACAGTCTTCGACGTCACTGAACATTACTCAGAAATCCTTAACTATTTATTTTACAGACCTAGAGAGAGAGACCAGAGAGAGAGCAGAGATAGAAAGAGAGGCCAAAGAGACCAGAGAGAGACCAAAGAGAGATGAGAGAGACTAGAATGAGACTAGAATGGGACCAGAAAGAGAGCAGAATGAGACCAGAGATAGAAAGAGAGGCCAAAGAGACCAGAGAGAGAGACAAGAGAGACCAGAAAGAGGCCAAAGAGACCACAGATAGAGAGAGGCCAAAGAGACCAGAATGAGAGAGAGGCAAGAGAGAGAGACCAGAGAAAGAGACCAAAGCGAGAGCCCAGAGACTCAGAGTCTAAATGACTAAAACATGGTCAAAATCTGAGAAAAGATGGTTTTGCAGGTTATTTCCTATTCCGTCTGTACTAACTATGATTCCCAATAACAATAAAAGAAGTTTCCAGAGACTTACTTCTTCTGTGCTGGGGAGGGGCACTCTGATGGCCAGACACCTGCTTCTGATCGGACCGATGACTTTGGACGTGGAGTTACAGCAGAGGATGAGGCGGCAGGTCGACATGTACTTCTCCATGGTGCGACGCAAAGCATGCTGGGCGTCTTTGGTCAGTCTGTCCACCTCCGTCAGAATCACCACTGAAAATGGAACGGTCAAAGTGGTGCATTTAAAAACAACAATGAATACTATGCATTTTGTTGATTTACTCATTAATCATGAGCATAGAAAATTACTTTCTATCTGTATCTCTCTGCAGGCACGTGTTAAATGGAGTATGGCGAATGAACAGCACTGCCCTCTAGTGATAGAATTAGGAAATTGTCATCTGCATAATTTAACATGAAGGCAGCAGTTGTTGACTGGAGAAATTCTGGGGGATAATCCTGCGTAAATTCTAGTTTTTAAAAAGGCAGAAAATGATTAAAAGTAGAAGGAATATACCATAAATTTGAGTCTTAAAAGGGTCTACAGGACTCAGGGCTGGTCAAGTTAACATTAAATTCAGCAGGAAAAAAAAACATTTAGGGTATTTTTTAATCACTAGCAGGTGAATTCAACCAAAGGATAGCACAAGGGTCAAGGCAAAAGGGGAAGACCTCTGAAGCTAAGCAGGGCAGGGCCTGGTTTGTACTGTGATGGGAGACCTCTGGTGACATCAGACGCTACAGTGGGGCGGCTGCGGCTGTAAAGTGCCAAACTGTGGTCGTGTCCTTTGGCAAGACACCTCACCCACATTGGCTAAAATGAGTCTGGTGTGAGTCAATTACTGTGGTACTGGTGTGTGCCCCAGGGCAGCAGTGGCTACAGTAATATCACTGTTTATGGAGTGAATGAGGAATTCTATGTGAAACATCTGACTGTCGATAAAAGATCTATTTAAAGTGGTTCTCAACCCCGTTCCTCGGAGCTTACGTTACTCACATTTCCTGTTCAAATCTTCCTCTAAATGGGCGTAGCCTGGAGGACTGAAGGGGGCGTGAACGAGACTGGGCCGTTTACATTGCTCTGGGCGGGGGGCTGCTGACGTCAGGTCCAACTTGCAGACGTCAGGTCCAACTTCTGTGCCAGTGTTGGCGCCAGATTCAAAATTCAAATGTAGTAATACAGGTCGCCAGCAGATGGCGTCTCACAGACGGTTTTAGGCAGAAAGTCTAACTTTCAACTAATTTGCACCAAAGTGACAAGATTATGACCAGGATATGTAGACAACACTATTGGACATTCATTTATACCGTTTATCAGCAAAAAAAAGTGGATTTGAGGGTGAGTTGTCCTTTAAAACTGATGCATTATTATTATTATTATTATTATTATACCAGAAGCTTCCAATAAAACTGTAGCTGGAGCCAAACTCCAGATAGGTTTGTGATGTGGGATATTTTTTCCAAAAACATCAAGAATCTATAACTATTAAGCATAACACATGTTCTAGAAAAACAATGTAGTGACAGTTATCGTCATGAAAGAATCTGAAAACCTTTGAAGTCTCTCATGGTGTTGGACTGGATCTGCTGAGACTGAGCCACGGTTTTGATCAGTTCTTGAATTACGACACGGTCCTGATTTCCTGCATCACTACAGACAGAAACAATGTTATTACACTTTCCTTCAGGCCTGTAACACAACGGACCTGACAGGACTGACCTGGCGTTCACTTCCAAGTGGTAATTGCTTGCTATGGTGTTGATTTCAATTTTCTTCTTTGATGGAGCCTAAACACACAAAACCAAAAACATACGCGAGGGACTAACGCAAAATTTCCTTCGGGATCAATTAAGTATTTAGCTAGTAATTTAATTTAGTTAAGTATTCTGTTCTCAGGTCTCCCTCTCTCTGGTAACTTGTATTGAATGGTACTTACCACAACACTTTGATGCTCAATTCGCAGTTTCTCCACTCCAGCCCCATACAGCTCCCTCAGCAAACACATAATTCGGGTTTTCTTTCCAGATCCCGACGGGCCATAGACCAACAAATGTGGAAAGTCACCACACTGGACCTAAAACACATCGCAATGTTATGATAATCTGTCAATGATAGATGCTAAGTGGCTATGCTAACAGTTCTTACCAAGTTTTTCAGCTGCTCAGCTTGCTCCTTGTGATAGTCAAGTTTGCCCAGGGAGTTGGGTCTGTATTTATCTACCCACAAACTCATCTTTTCATCTATATTCAGCGCTAACAGCCTGACTTCAGTTGTTGTTTTTTTGACAGCGGCAAAAATTCTCCCGCGAAACTAGACGAAAGCGCTGGACCGGATACTACGGCGAATCCACTAGGTCAAAAATATGTAACGCGCGATTCTGGTAAAAATAAATGTGTGATTTTTGAGCAAAGAATTAGATATATACAATAACGCACTATATCAAGTGTTATTTTTGTATTTAATTCGAATATGTTTATGTTAAGATTTGGATATTGCCATTTGCTAACTGCTAAAACTCAATGTTATTACTAGCTAGGCATTATGGTAATTAGCATGTGTGCAGCTGCAACAGATGTGGAGGCTGCTGCTATCTTTAGACTTGTTCATACGTGGACAGAGCGGACAAGCAGCTAGACATGTAAGTGGAGTCACCATTGTATTGTGTTTTTAATGTATTATTTAAAAGTTTGGATCTGAGATGGGTCAGAGGAGAGCAAGATGTAAGGGAAAACAAGGCAAGTTTATTTATATAGCAGAGTTTATATACGAGGCAAATCAAACTGCAAAACTAGAAAAGAAATATTAAAATCACACAAGGAATTACAATAAATAATCACAACAATGTTCACAGCATATATAATCATAGTTCAGTTAAAGAGTGAAGACATAATCATTCAGTTGTATGCACTGGATTTGAACATTGTCAGAATAGAAGCCTGTCTCACATGTTCAGGAAGACTGTTCCAGATTTTAGCTGCATGTGTCTGAGTTGTATGTTGTAATTTTCAAATTGAAATTAATAATCAAATTTGAAAAGTACAACACACAACTCTGGCTGGCATACATATATAATGATAATACATAGGATAATAGGGCGTTTTTGGACACGTAACGTCTCTTCACATGGCAGTATTCATTAATTCCATACACAGTGGTGATTTATTGCCCTGGGGCACGCTAACAGAAGCGAGGTAAACACACGCTCACACCAGACTCATTCTTGGCAATGTGGGTGAAGTGTCATTTCCGAATGACACAATGACAGTTTACAGCTGCCCCTGGTGTTAGGTCTCCCATCACAGTACTAACCAGGCCCTGTCCTGCTAAGCTTCAGAGGTCTGACAGGATCTGTCGCAGATTATATACTACATGTATTAACATGTAGTAACATGTAGTAACATTAAGCCAAAAGTACTTAATATCACTGTGTATTCAGCTATAAATACCTCCATGTCTATTTTTGATGAAACCTGGTTGAAGACTCAAACATGATGATTTATTGAAATTTAATGAAATATCAAATTAAACTGCACTGCAAAAAGTGATGAAAAACAAGAACATTTGGCTAAATGTATCTTTATTTGAGCACATTTTGACTGCATTAAAACAAGATTTTCCAATGGGACAAGCAAAATGATCTTGTTTTAAAAAGATACAAGAAATGTCGCCTTTGGAATGAGAAAATAAAACAACAATTCTTGAAAGAAAAACTAAATGGATTTCTCCCAATGGCAAATCTTCAGTCATAATCTACTTAAATTATAAGAAAAAAACAGTTGATTACAGCAATAATTACACATTTTATAATTTTTTGCAGTGCATTATTTTACCCAGTTCTTTCTAAATAAATTATTGAAGCCTTTATCAGTCCCACATTGGGGAAATTACAGATGCACTATTATCTTCGGCTGCTCTGAGCTGCCATGTATAGTGTGGTAACTGTATTTCTGCGGCAGGAATGCTGGATCGGGGCAGCGTGTCTCGGCAGGTCAGCGAAGCATTGAAATGTCTGAGAGAAATTGATGTGTGTCTGTCATTGCTGCTTCTGACGAGGTGTAAAGAGTGAGGCAGGCGGGGGTCTCCGGGTTGTCAGGTTCTTCAGAGAATGAGAAATGGATAAAAATAGTTATTATGTAGATCTATACCGCTTTGTGACTCTGGTCTGTGAAAGGATATATCAATAAAGGTGATTCACTTAGAATATTGTGGCGACAGTAGCTCAGTTGGTAGAGCATTGGCCTTTGAGCCTGAAGGTCATGGGTTTGAACCCACCACGGGATCTTCTCCACCGACTCCCACTGATGTCTGCTGTTGTTGTGTCCTTGGCAAGACACTTAACCTCTGGGAACACCTGATGCCACAGTGGGGCGGCTGCGGCTGTAAAGTGAAAAACTACTGTTGTGTCCTAGAATGAGTCTGGTGTGGGTGTGGATGTTTGGTGGTGGTCGTAGGGGCCGATGGCATAGACTGATTGCCTCGCTTCTGTCAGTGTGCTCCAGGGCAGCTGTGGCTACAGTAGAAGTTTATCACCACCGTATGGAGTGAATTAGGGCTGGGATAAACGATTATTTTTTAAACGATTAATCTAGCGATTATTTTTTTCGATGCATCGATTAATCTAACGATTATTTTTTTCGCTTCGATTCGATTTCGATTCGATTCGATTCTCAATTATCTCCCCATTAATTGACTAATATTGATGTATACATGTTGATTTAAATATTTTAATGTAAAAAACATGAAATCCTTCACAAAAAATATTTATTGCTTGCTCTTAAAATTCAAAACTAAGACATTCTTAGAGGTAGCATAAAACCTTAAAGCCTTGAAAACACAGCTTACTGAAAAAAGTGCATCTTATCATTCTTGAAACAAACATTTGATGCTTAGCATTCAATAAAAATATGAAAAAGTTCAGCCAAATACTTGTGTAGAGCAACTAAAAGAAAACAGTAACCAATGTAAACTTGAAGGCTTTAAGCTAAACAAAGAGTGCTTTTCCAGCAAAAACAGTGGGAGCCATCAGCCTGTCATGGCGTCCTTCCTGAACCAACAGAGTTTAACATTTAAGTTGAAGACACATAGGCCTATATTACTGAAGTCCATTAATTAAAGTGCATCTCTTAAATTCTTCATTCATATAAAAATAACAGTCAAAACTCTGCCACTCACCTTTTTCTTAAACTCAAAATTCAAAAATAAAATTCAAGTAAGAGTGTACAAGAGAAAAACAATGCATTGTGTAGCAAATAAAAAGGTCAACCAGTCATCCTTTCTTTTTGAGTTACTGAAAGAATACAGTAGAAGTCATCTCAGAGGACTTAAAACAACATTGAAGTCACCAACACAGATCAGAGAATCAATCAACAGTTAAACACATTAAAGATATTGAACACATGTTGAAAAATGTCCATATAGGCGGGCATGACAGTGAATAATACATGTAGGGGCTATTACGGGCGCCAATATTCCGTTTGATACAAAGAAAGACAGACTAGTTTTAAGCTGTTGAGTTGCCACAGGACGCGTCATCAGCCTACGTCAGCAGCCGCGGACTGCTATGAAAACATTAGCTTTGTGGTTTCACAGGCGCAGTTGACTGCTTAAACTAAACTTTGCACAAAACTTTGACTCTTAAAACCCACATGTGACAAAACGGAACCATCAACATCTCGCCTCAAATTGCATTAAAAGTGACATTCGTGTCTTAATTCGTTCGTATTTCAACTTTTAAAGCAATTCACGGTCCGCCATCTTGGTATGCTTCGGTTGCCGTGAGACGCGCATGCGCAGGTTTGCATTACATCATAAACAGCTGAGGCAGTGCATCTCTTCAAGACAGTGTATCTCGGCGTTACACCGGCTTGCACTTCTCTAACACGGCACCAAGCCCCGGCGATCCAAGATGGCGCCCTATTCAAATGAATGGTTGTGCTCAGTGGCGCTTTGTGACGGCATGGGGGCTGAAAGATTAGCGGAAGTTGCCTGAAACTCGCAAAGATCTATGGGAAACTCGCCTGTATTTGGGCATCGTCTGATCCTCCCGGTTCTGCGCAGTGGATGATCTCCCATAATGCGTTGCGCCAAACACGCGTGTGTGGGTCTCACACCGGGTCTCACGCACGTGCACAGAGGGGCTCGGCCGCGCTCTGACCAATCAGAGCAGTTCATCAGAGCGGGAGTTAGAGCGAGAGCCAGAGGAGCAGAGTTTGTGGCACTAAAGTGTGGATTTAAACAAAACCGAAGGATTTAAGAAGAAAAAAAGTTCCGGATGACAAGGGACACTAAAATCCCCACAAAATCCGATCTTTATTAAAGCTGTAGGTTCTCTGTCAGCTGAGGTTGAGCTGTTTTAATATGCATTGAGTTCAATGGGGAAAATTTCTGGGTAGCCCACTGAATTTAGTCTGGTTCAGTCTGCAGTACCGCGAGAATCCCCTGAGCACGTGAGTTATTCAGCTACAAGCTAGTAATACCCTATCCAGTTAATATAATACATCCATGCACGGCACTCGCATTGCTACCGCTCGCCGCCATCTTTGTTTTGTGTGTGACGCACCGACGCGCATATTATACGTCGGTGTATTTTTTGCGTCGACGTCACCGATTACGTCGACGCGTTGTCCCAGCCCTAGAGTGAATGAATAATGACATGTAAAGTGTCTTTGAGTGTCCAAAAAAGCGCTATATGAAACCAATGCATTATTATTATTATTATATTGTTGTTGATCTTACTATCAGTTCTCTGTTAGTACTATATCTTCAGTATTGTTGTGGCAATCGTTGAAAGTGTAAGCAGCCTGGGCTATAGCTTTAGCTTGACGTGTGCTCACTTACGAGATAACGGAGCAATGTGGTTTTAATGGAGGCCCAGGTTTCATGGTTCCAAACGAACAGTTTCAATTCCACATCCAATGCAGTTTTCCACAAAATAGCACAGTCAAAAAACTGTTGGGCCTAAACCCAGGTCAGCTTCCACATTACACTCACTGGCTCCCCCTACTGTCATTAAAAGAAACTGCACTTTTTCCTGGCCCCACCCAAACACACCCAAAATAAAGAATAGGCGCCTACCAAAACAAAATGATTAACTTAGGCTATATCCACACGAAGACAAAACGCTTATAATTTCAGAAACTTTTTCTGTAAACACGGAGTTAGCTCAGTAAATGTGTGCGTCCATATGAATGTAGTCAATACGCCTGAAAACGCTGTGAAACTATGCCAGACCT